TTCTCATGTTTTCTTCGTTAAAAAAAAAAAAAAAAATCTACCACTGGGATTGACCCAGGTCATCATAAAGCGATTCTGTAAGTTCTTGCTTCACTCACCACAAGTCCCCCCGATCTTTATACGTGGCGTCACCGTGCCGTTTAGAGATGGACGTGGCGTTCTACGTTCAAAACGCACCTCCTGTCGCGACGTGAAGTCACGGTCTCCGTGGCGTCAGGTGATGGTACAAACACCGAGCCCAATACCTCGGAGGTCGGTGGGTTTTGTTGAGATTTTCATGCTGATTTCAGCAGAAATATGGGGAACGTCTGACGGAAAACATCAAATGTAACCGGCCTGGTCAACGTTCATAAAAAACAAACTATGGAAAATCACTATGTTCAATAGCTATGTTGACATAACCAGAGGGTACTGGCTTTATGCTGGCGCAGGTGATGTTCTTCGATAGGAAATGGTGGATTGAAACTTCATCGAAGTCTTTATTTGGGTTAATTGGGTGAACAGAAACCAACAAACAGGACTGTACCAGGGTAGATGTTCAAAGCCACTAAAAACAGAGGGTTGCTCCAACAAAACTCCCAGAAACGTTGGTTACCCTCTGGTAAACTAACAGTTTGCTATTGAAAATATGGCCCAGTCGAAATCGTGGATTTACCCATCTACAAAACGGTGGATCTTTCCAGTTCGCTTTTTGTTAACGTAGAAACCAGGCCGGGTACCCTCCAGGAAAATCAAACGTGGCAGGAAAATCCTCCGTTGAAGGATGTTGACCTCCAGTAATCTCACATTTGTCACATGGAAAATCACCATCTTTAATAGGGGAATCAACTATATAAATGACCATTTTCAATAGCTACACTCTGGTAAACTGTTACATAGCAATGGATTATGGATGATTATGGTCCATTTATAGGGAGTTGTCCCATTAAAAATGGTGAGTTTCCATAGTTTTTTGTATGTTTACCAGAGGGTATCTTAAATTTCCATATAGGCTACTTTCTCATGATCGTTCACATGGCCATGGAAAATATCATGGAGCGCATTGGAAAATGACCATGTTTAACAGGTAAACAATCTATCCCTGATGGACAACCATTTGGCTTGGGTTTCAACCCCTCTCAACATCCAACGCCTACACCTTCACCTGGAATCTTCCGAATGTTTCAACCCGAAAATCTCTGACTCCACAAAAAATGCCTGGTTTTTCATACAGGGTGGTGCCCCAGTTCGTTAGCTAAGTTGATGCAAATAAGTCCAATTTCACTTGGGTTTTTTGCTGGTGATATATCAAACTAGTTAGTGGGATTTTATGGGATTATAACCCATTTATAGATATATCACCTACATATACACAAAAACTATAGATTCACATCCCATTAACATCCATTAACTATAAGATATCTTTAGTTAGGCCTACCCTCTGGTAAACTAACATAACTATGGAAAATCACCATCTTTAATAGGTAAATCAACTATAAATGGGCCATGCTCAATAGCTATGTTAAATTACCATATAGTTACAATGTGGAGCCCCCCAGTGATGTTTGTTGGTTTATAAACCCTATTAATAAACTGTAGCTATTTACGTATCATAAACCCAAACATTATTGAAGTTATGTTCACCAACTTAGCTATCGTTTGGGGGCCTCACATTGTATATATAATAGGATATATCAATGGGATATATATAATTATATATATATATACACCCTTCAGATCCCTTCAGTAAACTAACAGTTTGCTATTGAACATGGCCCATTTATAGATGATGTCCATATAAACAATGATTTCATAATAGATTAATATGGTTAAAAACAAGAATAAATCAGCCCATTTATGGTTGTGGGGGCACCACCTCCATCCACCGAGCAACATCCTGATCCGCTGGGCGTCGGTCGAGGCGTCGGACGGCCCTCCGCCTCTGGAGAACAGAGGTGGTGGAAAGATGGGGAGACGATGAAGTATGGTGGAATATTTCATGGAAAATATATGTATTTTATCGAACATGTATGGAAAATATTGGAAAATATGGCGAAAAATATTGGAAAATATGGTGAAAAAAATTGGAAAATATTGGAAAACAATGTGTATATATATATATATGTGTGTATTTTATGGAAAATATTGGGAAATATGGTGAATATGTTTTTTTTAAAATACTGGAATGATGGAAAATATTGGAAATATATGCATTTTATGGGAAATATTTTAAAAAAATGTGTGTTTTGTGGAATATATATATATATGAAATGTATGTCATTCAGTTCATGTGGGATATGAATGTGAAATACTGTGAACAGTTGATGGAAAGTTCATGGTTCCATTCGGAGTTGATTACAAGTTGATATGGATACAAGATGATACAAGTGATATACCCTCTGGTAATCTGTTACGTAGCGAACTGGAAGCCATGGCCCATAGAAATCGTTGATTTACCCATCTACAACATGGTGATTTTCCATAGTTATGTAAAAGTTTACCAGAGCGTAATATGGAGTATGGAGATTAATATCAACTATGGTGATTGATATCAACTATGGTTATTAATATCCCATATACATGTTATTCCCATATGATGATTAGTATCCCATATGGTGATCATAAGAATGTATATGGATGTGGCCCATATTCGGTGGGATATTCATGCAACAAATAATGGAATGTGGTATATAGTATATAGTGATTCATATCACAGATATGGTTTAATTCAAAATAACCAGCTGTGTGTGGAGGTTTAATGGTGATTCCAAGTGATTGTTTATATGGAATATGGTGATCTAATGAATGTCATATTTTGGTCATTAATGACCAATTGGTGGTTTTAACCCCTCTGAAAAATATGAAAATCAATGGGAAGGGTTATCCCATATATTATGGAAAATAAAAAATGTTCCAAACCACCAACCAGTTGGTCATTCATGACAGGTAAGCCCAATTTTTCAGAGGGTAACCACCAACATGCGGATTTCCGGAACTTCATCAAGAAGGGACTGGGATGACCAGTGGCGAATCTTCAGAACCGAAATTGTATCACATTTACCATCTGGTTATGACATTCACAGTTCGCCATGGTATAGATCACCATGCTGTATAGCTAGGTAAACCATCTATAAATGGGCCATCTATACCATGGCTATGTAACAAATAACCAGAGGGTAGTCATTGGCCATGCAACCATTAACCTTGATCATTAATAGTGGTTAATAGTGGTTAATAATGATTAATGATGGTTAATCATTGGTATATAATCACTGGCCATGCAACAGGAACCGATGTATTGGAGGTACATACCATATATTTTTGGTCTATTTCTTAGGCCTTAGTTTCAGAGAATATCCCCACAATTCAGCCAAAAATAAGGTGCTAACGCACCTCCATTTTAGGATCCTGAAATTCCCATTGATATAATGACTATAAATTTAGTAAAGCAACGTCATAAACCACTGATATTTGCTTTATACCAACCATAACAATGGTAACTTTGGGGCGAATCTTTCAACCCATCATCTCTGACCCAGCAAGGTCAATGAACAAAAATTGACCTACCACCCGTCTTTTTGCCAACCCCATCATGTATTGGGTGCGATGATGTTTATCACGATGACATAGGTATTGCAATTGTATTGAACCTAATTGAAACTCAATTGTTGATTCCAATTACCAGCTGGTTATGACTAACAGTTCGCCATGGAAAATCCACCCATTTTATAGCTAGGTAAACCATCTATTTCTATGGGCCATCTATACCATGGCGAACTGTTAGTCATAGCCAGAGGGTTTTCTGAAAACGCCAGGGATGATCTGCACATATTTGTACCATTTGGAATGGTTCATTCTCAAGGCTTACCATTTTCATAGCTATTGAAGCCATGGCCATTGAAAAATTGATAGTTTTTTTTTACCCAGCTTTTTTAAATGGTGGTTTTCCAGTTCGCTTTTTGTAAACGTTTACCAGAGGGTACATTTGATGTTTAATAGGAAAATCCACTATAAATGGGCCATCTATACCATGGCTATGTTAGTCATAACCAGAGGGTACCAAACAAGTCGCCCAATGGCCCAAGTTTCCTTGTTTGACCCAGCCACACCCCAAAAGGTGACTCGACGGCTCGAAAATGTTTTTTTTCGCCCGGCCGAGCGGACTGTCGTGGAAGCTGTGAGGTGTTTGATTGAGTTATAACTAATTAAGAAGGAAACTATATTTTTCGCTATAATTAATATAGTTCATATTTCATATTTTCCTTCATATATATTTAATTAATATGAAGGAAATCATTTTTTGGGAATCCCTAATATTTTTTAATTTGATTCCATGGTTTAAATTGATGGAATACTTCTCAATGAAATATATATATACCATGGAATGTTTGAAGTTTGACTGGAATATTGTGAAGTATTGTGTTTAATTTGATGGATATACAATTAATATTCCATGGTTTGGTTACAAAAAAAATCTACAGGAAACCATCGACTTTCCCATTAATATGAATTTGTCCTGTAATTTTTCCCTTAAACCATTCCATTGATATATGATATATTATATATATGGGTGTCCAAAACCTATGATACCGTACTTCAGGGGCCCCTGAACATCCGCCAGCTATGTTGATGTTCACCAGGGTGGTTTTAATTCCATATCCATTTGTTTGGCATCTTTGCATATATATATACATATCATCTGAAATAAGGTGAAACAGTACTTGAGATATTCACAATATATATATAATTATATATAGCAATATATATATAGTATATAGAGATATACAGTACATACACAAATTAACAAAATTATGAATTGGTATCTGATATAGATGTACCTTATAATATATATATATGCAATTAACTGTAATTACGTATATTGAGATATATATATATATATATTATAATTGGTGCAAATTACATATATATATACATATCAGAAATCTACATCATATAACTGTGGTATTATGGTATTATATATATATATTATGTACATGTGACATACCAGAAATCTACATCTCTCAGAGCGCCGTGGTCGCTTGATGAATCTGCCAGGCACCATGCGCCTCAAAAAATAGAGAGCGACCAGCGACGACGCGAAGACGACGCGTAGGGAAAAAAATGGGAAAATCAATATGTTATAATATATATAGTATAATGAATATTGACTATAGTATCTAGTATCTATTGACTATTTATCTATATATCAATATTTTATATTACAGTATAATGAATATTATAGTGAATAGATACTAGAAATATTATAGTATCTATGACAAATTATATATTATATAATAAAAATATGTTGGATATACATTGTTTGATCAATTATATATATATATATATTTAAAAAAAAAAAAAAACTAATTGGTGGTTTTAACACCCACTGAAAAATATGAGTTCGTCAGATTGGATCATCATCCCAACTATTTCTGGAACATAAAATTCCATGGTTCCAGTTACCACCAACCAGATATGATATACCATTTATATTAGTTATTTATATATATATTCCATTAAATTCCATTAAATTCCATTAAATTCCCTATTAAACCCCTATTAAACCCCTATTAAACCCCTATTCCATTATATGATATATAAATCCCTATTAAATTCCATTAAATCCCAAGAAATGTTGCTGGTGAATCACCATGTCTCCATGTTGAGATAGTCATGATCAAGTTGGGACTTGGAAGATCATGTTGGGATTTGGATTGTTGGATATTTAAAAAAAATCCAACATGATCCATAGATATAGTTGGGATTTGGATTGTTTAAATCAACCAATATATACTATCAACTATCTTAGTATATGTTTATATTGTTAGATTATGATGTTGGTATCTATAGTGTCTCATTGGTATATGTTTAAAAATTGGAAGATCAAAGAGAAAAATCATATAGTTTATGTTGAATAATGTTGAATATTTAAAAAAAAAATGATGAATAATAGCCTCTGGTAAACGTTTACATAACTATGGAAAATCACCATTATCAATGGGTAAACCATCTATAAATGGGCCATAATCCATGGCTATGTTAGTTTACCAGAGAGTAAATGATTTAAAAAATAAAAATAAAACCACCCCATAGGATTACTATCAGAACTTAATGACTGTATGTTCATCTTCTTCCAATGTTGAAAATTACAAGAGATCTTTGTGAAGTACCATCTGGTTATTTAACATAGCCATGGAAAATCCCTTATAAATGGAGGTTTTAATCGGAAAATCATCTATAAATGGGCCATTTTCCATGGCTATGTTAAATAGCCAGAGGGTAGAAGTGAATGTCCATCTAATCTGTGGTTTGATGATCCCCAAATTCTGTTTCCTCACCATCCAATATGCAAGTACCATGACATGTCAAGCATTTTCTCATTCCAAACCTGGTTGGTGGTTTGAACCCCTCTGAAAAATATGAAAGTCAATGGGAAGGATTATCCCATATATTATTTAAAAAAAAAATGTTTGAAACCACCAACCAGAAATGGTACTTCTTCAGCCTTTTTTTAAGATTCATCCCTGTCCAGAGAGAAAAACTTCCCCCTAGCGGCCCTAGCTGCCCTAGCTTGGACCATCGCTCCCACCTTGCAGCCGTATACAATGCTCCACATTTCTGGCGCCTGCGAAGGTCATCAAGGTATCCGCAAGTACCCCATTCCCCACATCCCCACTATGTGGTTTGTCCCCATGGCCATTAAAAATGTTGGGAAAATCATGGGAAAATGATGAACCATGAATTTTGGGGGTAGCCTATGTTCAGACAAAGCAATATGAGTCATTATGAGTATATAATCCAATCGACCATGGCACTTTTTGATAGAAAACCAGACTTGTGCAGGGTAATACCCTCTGGTAAACGTTTACATAACTATGGAAAATCACCATTTTCAATGGGTAAATCCACTATTTCTATGGCCATGTTCAATAGCTATTTTGACATAACCAGAGGGTAACATACCTTCGGGGTGATGAAACAAACGCTACTATGAAAATGATGGGGATTATCATCCCAGAACCTACGGAAAAATTGGCACGTATAGACACTGATAGACTATAGATATTTTAGACACTACATAAATATATATACATATATATATATATAGAGCAACCTCCACTACAAATGAAAAAGATAACAAGGTTGCCACGAAAATCTTTATAATTTATCTATCATCATGATTTTCCGATACGGTATCATATTTCTGTAGCTGATAGATAGATTTGGGGGATCATCATTTCTCGTTATTTTACATGCCCCCACCTTCTGCAGGTTGGGAAGAATCAGACCATCTTGCAGCACACCAGCGGCGTGCACCACCGTATCAATGCCTAGGAAGCTGTCCATGAAATTGGAAGGCTGGTCTCTGCATGGTGGTGGTTCCAGTGGTGTTGGTTGGTTTATAAACTGGTTGGTAGTTTGAACCCCTCTGAAAAATTTTAGTCAGTTGGGATGATTATTCCCAATATATTATGGAAACATAAAAAATGTTCCAAACCATCAGATAATAATGTTTAATAAACTATAAACAACCATTTTCGATAGCTATGTCGAATTGCCAGAGGGTAGTTCGAAATATGGAGGTTTCCAAAAATGCGGGTACACCCCAATCATCATTTTTCTAGGGGTTTGTCCATTATAAATCCAGCTATTGGGGCACTCCCATGACTTAGGAAACCACCTTATGGTGATTTAGACAGTGAACTTGGGGATATGAAAGGATACTTATACTATGATTGATAATTCTGAAGTAGACCTAGGGATTTAGACTGGGGATCTTTATCATAAATTCTAATAATATGATTGATATAAGGATCTGATTTAGACTGTGGATTTAAAACAATAATATGAATCAATCACGACCGAAAAGAATCACCGAAGAAGTGAGTGATGCTTTTCAGCAAAAACATATATCATATACCAGGCATTCACCATGTACCCTCTGGTAAACGTTTACATAACTATGGAAAATCACCATGCTATGTAGCTGGGTCAATCAACGAACTTTCTATGGCCATGTTCAATAGCAAACTGTTAGTTTACCAGATTAATCATCCATTAATCACCATTTTCAATGGGTAAATCCACTATAAATCACCATTTTCAATGGGTTTACCAGGCCGGGTACCACGTTTGACCCCAAAAAAACGCGACGCGAATCTGAGGTTTCCACCCATCCGACGCTGGGGCAAGGCCAACTTCGTTTCGGTCTGGCCGTGGGATCGTGGGCGCCGATAGATCGCTGTCGATGGGAAGATCGATGAAAAAAGGGGGTTCCAAAAAATGAAGCTACACAGCTGGATGGTTTATGGATGGTTTATTTCATGGAAAATCCCTTGGAAAAAATGATCACTAGGGGCCTATGACTTAGGAAACATCCCAATACGGTGATTTTTGTCAAAATTCAGAGCCTTGGGACTACAGATTGACTTGTCTATTCTTAGTAACCATCTAATCATTGGGGTACACAATTTTGACCCATATCCAGATGACCAGAAATCTCCGTGAAAACATATGTATTAATCATGGATGTTTATGGATTACATAGTTCTAATGTGCATAGATCAAACCAGTAAATTGGGGGTTTGGGAATATCAGCAGCTAAAAATGCTGCAGAGGAGTGAGTGGTCAAGCTTGGGGCATTCATCATCAAGAATACTAGTTGAAACAACAACTTGGTGTTGGGGTCGATGTACGTGCAATGTGGTGCCCCCAAGATAGCTAAGTTGGTTTATAACTCCAATAACTATGGTTTATGGTACTTATAACTATAGTTACTGGGGCTTATAAACCAACTTATAACTGGGGGGCCTCACATTGTATGGGTCAACAGCTGCAACCCAGGTGCCTATCAGAAAGTGCCATTTCGATGAACAATGTGGAATGTATCCAATAACACAAATGAAGAGTTTCCAAAAACCACTGCAATCCCTTTCGGATAGGGTTTCCTGTTCGATTATAATCCCCAGTTTATTAGACCCAACATTCGCCAGTCAACCATGACATGTCAGTTAAGTTATGCCATATTCCAATTTTCAGTGGATAAAAACCCTAGAACCGATAGTTGAAATCGTTAAAAATCCCCATGAAGAAAAATCATCAACATGTTGGTCACCGTTTCCGGGGGGTTTTCCGGGGTCAGCATATGGGGGGGTTCTCCAAAGCCATGGGTTTCAATACTAAAAATTGTCATCCATAACTGGATGATTTGGGGATCCTCCGGCTTTGTCTGAAAATGAGGTACCCTCTGGTAAACTAACATAACTATGGAAATTGGCCCATTTGTAGTTGATCTACCTATCATAAATGGTGATTTTCCATAGCTATGTTAGTTTACCAGAGGGTATTTTCAAGCACGCAATGTTTTTTGATCACCGGGTCTTCCCCATTTAAAAAAGCCCTTTGGGGGATTTGTTTGGGCATTTTCAGACCCATTGATGGAGGTGTCCAGGGCCCCCCATTTTCGGAAACCACTGATGAACCCCCCCCATATCATAGTCAATCAGCCAGATACCCTGCAAAAAATGACAAAATTCTGTCGCTGGTGAACGTAGATAATCCATGATAATCCCATACCAAAAAGACGAGTTTTTGGATGAGTTTCTACCCATCGAAGATTGATTGACCTAGAGTATATCCCATTATATATCCCATTAACAATGGATTTTAAACCAATTCTATCCCATGATATATCCCACTGAGATATATATATATACACCATCCAGTTGATTGACCCCCCATATGGAAATTTCCCAACTTAGGGGATATCCCGCACTAAACTACCATGCATTTTTAAGGGCACCCCCATATCGATGAAAACCAGGTCAAAACGTTGGGCGGCACCGTGATGTTCTTAATCTTCACGCCCAGCTCCTGGAAACAAGTCGACAAGTCAGGAACCCTGAAAGACAAAGGAGAGGCTGTAGAGCTGTAGCAACCCCCCCGAAAGATGCAGAAAAATGTAACGACTGTAACTATATCCTAAGAAAAATCCCAATTGGCTAGTTGACTATTGACTATAGTAACTCTTGACTAGTAACTATTGACTATAGTATATCCCCCTAAGAAAAATGTAAAATCCCGATTTTTTGAAGGTGATATAACTGGTCAGTGGCTCTAGGATTTCCCAAGTGCCGAAAAAAATGATGGTTCCCAAGTGCTTTCTTGGGGTAGCAGGGAAGTAAACTGGTTGGATTATATTGATTTATGGCGGATCTAGTGGTGGATATAATGTGTGTATATATATATATATATTTGATTATATATTTGTGTGCAAATGAATGAAAACGAACAAACTAGTTACTGTGGCCAGCCTGGCAGAAATTTAAGGGTGCCCGCTTAAATGGTGGCCATCGTTGATCTTGCGACGCAGTGTCCAGGGCATGGTGCGAGGCTTGCTGTCCACTCTACCCTCTGGTTATGTCAACAGTTTGCTATTGAAAATGGCCATAGAAATAGTGGATTTACCCATAACAAATGGTGATTTTCCATAGCTATGTTAGTTTACCAGAAGGTAAAAACTTCAAGGTTTTGGACGGTGGTGCAGATGATTTTCCAAGAAGTTTTTTGGCGAATTTGTCTTGTGGAATTTGACTGCCCTGCAGGTCATATCAGGGTCTCCAAAAAAATCACCCAGAGCAATCATCATTCTGCTAATGTTACACCAAGTACTCGAAACAAACATGTTGATTTGTGGGCCCACAAGGCTATGTATGGTAAATGGTACCTTTTTGAAGCCAACGAGATCATCCTTAGCTTTGAATTTGGAATCCCAAAGAGAGACCTGCTGATTTGTAAGCCTCAAATATTCACCTTTGTCATCGGATAAGAAAAAACAAACCACTGGCATGATGAGCCAACACATCCAGCAATAGTAATATATAATATAATATTATATAAAGCCTAGTTAGCTTAGCTATAGCCAAACTTACCCATCGTTCGGAAACCACTTGTTGTAATTGTTTCGCACAACTCCGGATTTTTCTCGCAGGTTTCCAACCCAAATCTAACGGAAACTTCAACCAACGCCACTTGAGTAGCTGTGAAGCTTGGAGTTCTATAGAAACCGAGAGGCCGTGGTGGGTCTTTTTCCAACGCATTTTGTTTTTCCCTGGAAGAGAAGATTACCCTCTGGTAATTTAACATAGCTATTGAAAATGGCCATTTATAGTGAGTTTTCCCATTAAAAATGGTGATTTTCCATAGTTATGTTGGTTTACCAGAGGGTACAAGTCTGCCCTATCCGTAGCAGTTTTCCGACTTTACTTGAAGGGAATGTCCACGGATTGAATCGGAAAGAAAAGCGTCTGGGGCTCACATGATCTAAAAATCGTGTATGCTAACATCAACCAATACCCATAGGATCCATGGTGCTGCTATATATGGTAACATGGATCCCATCAATATACCCCCTTTATGTTAGCATATATACCAGCACCATGGATCCTATGGGATATAGACATTTAAATGATCACGGGATTCCCCCAGCGTTACCCGAGGAAAAATGCCTTGGTTTGGCTTGGACTGGTGTACCCTCCATCACGATTCCAGGTTGGTCCCCTATTGGCCATATCGGGATGACCTTCTCCAGTCAGAAAAAACGTGGCAAGCTGGAAGATTTCCACTCGAAATGGGGGGGTTCGGAAAATCACCGAACTCAACTCCTCTGGCAAACATACAAAAAGCTATTTAAAATGACCATAGAAATAGTTGATTTACCCATTAAAAATGGTGATTTTCCATAGTGTTTGTTGGCTTATAAACTGGTTGGTGGTTTCAACCTACCCCTCTGAAAAATATGAGTGAAAGTCAGTTGGGATGATGAAATTCCCAACTGTTTCTGGAAAGTCATAAAATTCCATGGTTCCAAACCACCAACCAGTAAATCGTGTATTTTCCAGCACGCCATGTTTGATTTTTTGGAGTGTAAAGCCTTCCAACATCATTCCAGCATTATTTCAACATCATTCCAACATCATTCCTTAAATCCCACCGGAAACCACGGATTAAACCATCAATTCTTGGGGCTTTCCGGTCAAGATGTCCCACCAATCCATTGAAATACAGAAAGATGTGGAAAATCCAGCATTTGTAGATCATGTCCCTAGGAAGTTTCCATAGGTTTCCCACATGTTTTTCCATGTTTATCCTGAAGTTGTCAGATATATATTGATTAATATTCATATCCCACTATATGGCAGTGTGTCAAAACCTTGTACCCCTGGTGAACATCAAAATAGCTGGTAAATGGATGTTCATTCCCCTAAAAATGGTATTAATAGGTATTGATCCATACCCATATCAACAATTAAAAAAAAACAGCAATTTGGCAATACTGTGGATGAAACAATTCGAATCCTACACCTGATGGGCCATTTATCCCATCATCCCAATATGTAGAGTTTCCCAATGCCATCCAGCCTATTAAACACCCCCATTGGATGGTTCCAATGGAATGTAGGGAAATTTCCCAACCAAAAAAAACCGTGGTTTCGTTGAAAATATCAGGGGGATGGGATTAGTTACCAACTGCAGGATGTCCATCCACAGGAGGCTTGTTCAGAAAAAATCCCATTCTAAGATTCTAGGAATATCTAGGAATATCTAGGAACCATCTAAGATTCTAGGAATATTCCAAACTTATCTATATGTATTTGACTACCCCTCAATTTTCCGAAATTCCCGGACACGGAGCCGGTCGTCCTGGACCTGTTCTGCGAGCTCGGAGCCGGTCCTTGGGCGCGAGATGTTCCATGAAACGATGGGAAAATCATGGGAAAAACAGGCAATATATGGGAAAACCCCATCAAAATGGGGGAAATATATGAAAATACGAGGGTTTCATGGAGGTTTCTAGCTGGGAAAATAATCTATATCAATGAAAACAATATCAACTATAAACATGTTTTAAACGGGAAAATCATCTAATTAGCAGAGCTTCCCAAAAAAACACGTTTGATTTCCAGAGGATACTTCACACTGGCTTCAGTTACTGGCTTACTTGGCTATGAGTTTGTTTTTTTCAAGCAATCTTTTCAGGACAAGTGCGGGAACAAAGATCTTTAGGAACTGTCTAGATTTGTGTTGCAATGAGGTTTCTATCCATAATGCCGAAAAATTGATTCTATCCAAACAAAAATGGTGACATAATCCGCAACTAAGGTTAGTTACCCTCTGGTAAATTAAACATAGACCCTGAAAATAGCCTAGTTTTACTGGAAATGAATCTTCCAACCCCTATCTGCCAGGGTCTATGTTAATTTACCAGAGGGTAATGATTAAGAATCCCGATGAATTCAAATCCTGCGACAATCCCATGCATAGTTACCCTCTGGTTATGACTAACAGTTCGCCATGGTACAGATGGCCCATAGAAATAGATGGTTTGCCTGGGTTTACCTATTTATTAAAAATGGTGATTGTCCATGGCTATGTAACAAATAACCACAGGGTAGTTGGGTTATATCTAGATGGTTCATAGCTGGATCAAATTAGCTTTGAACATGGCAACAAATGGTGTAGAACCCATGGCTATGTTAGTCATAACCAGAGGCTAATTGGACTAATGAAACCATCATTACACCAGGGTTATTTTAATATCCCATCCCTACTGACTTGATCCATACCCTCTCATGCATCACCAACACATTTTCGATGAGGTATCGATTCATCTATAGTATACATGAGATTATGTGCCTATGATTATATATACATACCTATACGACCTGAAAATGATAGATACCTGTGTACATAGATCAATCTATTATCAGTATATACATCTATACCGTGTCAACGAATGTCTATCTATCTATCTATCTATCTATCTATATATATATGTATATATATGTGTATATATTTATGTGTACATTAATAGTGTTTAAACAGCGAATTCCCACATGATCTTCGCCACTGCCATGGCCATTTCCCCGTTGCCCGGTACTTTCGACCAAAATCAACGAACCGCGCCACTTCTGAATGGCACGCAGTTGGGCTGCGCCAGCTCCACCGACAGCTCCTTCAGCACGTTGCTTCAGCCTGCAAAAACTGGAGATTTACCATCTGGTTATTTGTTACATAGCCATGGAAAACCACCATTTTTAATAGGTAAACCCAGGTAAACCATCTATTTCTATGGGCCATTTTCCATGGCTATGTTAAATAACCAGAGGTTAATCCAAAATGGTGATTTTTCCCCAGCGAAAATGGAGATTAAAATCAACAAATATGGGGATGTGTTCTTCGGCGTTTAGGATAACTAATTATAAGTTGCTTTGGGTTTATGGCGTAGAGATATATGTATATAATGATGCGTGTGCATCTCTAGACGTGCCGAAAATCACCATTTTTAAAAAGGTAAATCATCATAAATCATGTATAAATTGGGCCATTTTCCATAGCTATGTTCAATGACCAGTGGATATACATAGGATGGCTGAAACATAAACCAACAAACATAACTACGGGAGCTGGTGGCTTTGTGATAAAAATATCTCCGTTAGCTCTGAACGGACCTTAATGTTGCTGCTTGGTGGAGGAAAAAAACTGAACATCATCATCATCATCATCCTAAACAAATACCCTCTGGTAAACTAACATAACAATGGAAAATCACCATTTTTAATGGGTAAATCCACTATTTCTATGGCCATTTTCAATAGCAAACTGTTAGTTTACCAGAGGGTAGTTAAAATGATATCCTAAAAATAGTCTTTGAAGATCATCGTCCAAAAAATCATCGAGCAAATTACATTACGTACATACAAAAAACATGTGGAAGCCAGGTTGGGGATGTGTCAAATTGCCATGTTTCACTGCCTTTATGATGGTTTGATAATCCATCAAACTGAGGCCACAAAATGAGAGATCTGGAAACCAGAGACGAGACGAGATGAATGGCTAGTTCCATCACGAGAATGGCGGACATGGCCATCCTCTGGTACTGAGAATGAAGGGAAATCCAGACACAAGAAGATTGACAAAGAAACCAGACCGAAAAACAGCAAGTTTCGCCAGTTTTGCTCAACCGCGCAGTTGCTAAACAGCGAAAAAGACATCCTATCATACGTGTATCAAAATTGGGATCAATGCCCCAGATTCTGACAAAACAACCAGTTATCTGGATAGAAATGTTGATATCAACCTCTGAGCCGTGAGCCAAGATTTACTAAGATCCGTTTACCAGTTAAAATCCCTTCTTTAAATAAGATCACATCAAAATCCTGATCTAGTAACTGGTTGGTGGTATACCTAGCCCTCTGAAAAATATGAGTCAAATGGGATTATTATTCCCAATCTATGGAAAAATCTATATATATATATAATGTTCCAAACCACCAACTAGAGTATTTGATCTCTTCATTTTGGCTAATGTTTCTAGCGCCAAAAATTGAGGGAATGGAGATGAAACGTCTGCACCTCCATGTCCCTGACTTTGAACTTTGGGTGAAAACAATACCCCGTATCTCCCGGTGTTTTTGGGTGAGAGTCCGCTGATTGTTTACTGTCTATTCATACGTACATATCATACATCACATCACATCATGTCATATCAAAACAAATCAGATCATCTCAAATCTAATGTCATCTAATCGTTCCTTCTATCTAGCGTACACCAAACTCCCCTGATCCGCCGAAGGCACTTGGCAATGGTGTCTACCACTTCATCTTCCTAGGACTGGCAGATTGCTCCACAAAAAGCTGACGATAATAGGGACACGGGATTTTTGTAAAGGGATATCTCACGGAGAATGGGGTGTTTCAAGGGGATTTATGATAATTTTTAGATCATGAAAATTTATGAGTCGGGTTTTTTTTTGTGTTTTTAGATTTATGGATTTTATGGTAATCATGATTAGGTGAATTCTTCTGAATTATCATGATTCAACTGAATCATAAAGTCTAAAAGTTAGTCTATGGATTTTCGACCATGGATTTCGATCATGATTTTCTTCTGAATCATTATAAACCTTTTCAACCATGGATTTTCGATAAAGATCTAAAACTTAGTCTATGTTTCAGGTGAATCCCCATGATTTTCCACAACTTGCCCCCGACTTCAACGGCTCGATGCCTCGTTTTTGTCGTAGAAGTTTTGACCCACTTTATGTGGGGAATTACATGCTTGTGGTTTGAATATATATATATATATCATTGGGGAAAGCCCTATCATGATATTTTCTGGGAATATATTGGCAAAACCATGATATAATTGAAAGTAAGATTTTTTCGCACTCAGTGGAAAAACCCACCATTGCAAAACCCTCCAACATTGTGAAAAATTACATTCTGTGATCATTGAAACATATTGAAAGTAAGAATTTTTCAGAACCCTGGACTGAAAAATGTTGGATTCTTATCGAACGCTCAGGCTCTAACCAATGCCCGAGACAATGCGCTTGGACGTTTCCATCAACCGAACCAAAAACGTATTAGTTCAATTATATCAGAAACATATTGGGAAACATATATATCTATATATATACATGGGGAAATGGTCTTGAATTATCAAAAGTGCAGAAATCCCGTTTTTTTTTGTTGCTCCACGATATGATATGATCTAGTGAGCTCAGAAAATCATACTGACCCCACGACGGACACGGGGAATGGCCCCTGGGTCCTTAACGCCGGTAATAGGTGTGGTCCCTATTTTCGCCACGTCATTCTGCATCTGAAAAAGTACTTTTCTTGGCTAGAATCTTTTGACTTTTTCTTGATTTTTCAGAACTGCCAGTTTCAGATACCCTCTGGTAAACTAACATAGCTATGGAAAATCACCACTTTTAATGGGAAAATCCACTATTTCTATGGCCATTTTCAATAGCTATTTTGACATAACCAGAGTGTATCCATCTTCAGTTTCATCCCGTGATAATTGATTCTTACCGGATTTCTAGAATCCTTCAAGTGACTTTTCAGAACAGCCAGTTTCCAATGTGTATAACTGGTTGGTGGTATACCTACCCCTCTGAAAAATATGAGTTCGTCAGTTGGGATGATTATTCCAAATATATGGCAAATATATATATAATGTTCCAAACCACCAACCAGTATATACTATACACCATCCGGCAATCAATGGAAAATCCACCATCTATCGATGATTTTCCCTAGATTTAAACCTCCGTTTCTTTCGGGGATTGTTCAGCCATGTTTGATTACCAGAGATTCCAATGATCCAGTCATTGGATTGAGGGAAAATCTGCAGGAAACCATGGTTTTTACTAGTTTTTACCATTAAATATGGGAGTTTTCTGTAAATTTTCCCTTAAACCAATCCATTGAAATAAGCTTTTTGTCAACCATCACGGCACTAGCCGATGATCTCCGATCGTCCCATTTTCCACGTTTGAGGACACCAGAGGGTAACCAAACCACCATTGATTCTATGAAACTGCTGAGAAGGGTTGATGAGAAGTTGTTTTTAATGTTATATCCCCCTTCTGCAACCATATCTCACTCGTCTGAGGATCAGCAGGTTTGATGTTTGAATTCCCGTTCAATTCAATCCTATCAATTCCTATTAAATCCATATATATCCTATATATATATACACATCCCATATAAATCCCATGAAATTTCCCACTAGGGCCCCTCACGCGGTCACGAACCTCCTGGGCATCTTCCTGGGCATCCAGTTTTTGGAAAGGAAAGGGTTGTCAGATTTTTTTAGCCCCTGTTATGTTTGGTGATTTTTGATGGAGATTTATAGGGATTTACTGGAGATTTATAGGGATTTACTGGAGATTTATAGGGATTTACTGGAGATTTATAAGGGTTTACTGGAGATTTATAGGGATTTACTGGAGATTTATAGGGATTTACTGGAGATTTATAGGGATTTACTGGAGATTTATAGGGATTTACTGGAGATTTATAAGGGTTTACTGGAGATTTATAGGGATTTACTGGAGGTTTATAAGGGTTTACTGGAGATTTATAGGGATTTACTTGAGATTTATAGGGATTTACTGGAGATTTTTAGGGATTTACTGGAGATTTATAGGGATTTATTGGAGATTTATAGGGATTTACTGGAGATTCTTATAACATATTATAAATATTTGAAGGTCATTGACATGGGTCTTGAACCGTCTTTCTCAAGTGGGAGTTTTTTTTTAGGGATTTAACCATCTAATCCGGGAGTGTGTTAAATATACATTAATACACATTGATGGACATTGGTGAACATAACTCCAATTTCACTATGGTTTATGGTACTTATAACATCTTATAACTATAGTTACTGGGGCTTATAAAAATCCCATCTATGGTGGTGCCCCTCCCGAGTGATGTAAATGCTGGTTTATAATCCCATGGCAACTAGTTCGATATATCTACCATAAGTCTAAACGTGAAATTAGAGTTATGTGAACCCCAACTTAGCTATCGAACGGGGGCACCACATTGATGAACATCGTTAATGGAGATTGTTCTAGGGAGTTAACATGGTATAAGGGAGTTAATCGACAGGGGAGTTCCCCCACTGCAACCAATCCTTGACATGAAGATTTAAAGGTTTACAGGGCGTTACCATCGTTTAACCATCAACAATGAGTCATATTATTAGGGGGTTCTCAATGTATATAAATATGTATATATATATTATACAATATGACAAATAATGATTGATGATCAAATAATTATAGATATAATATGTACATAATTATAGATAAAATTTGCCAAATAATGATGGATTGATGCTTAAAAAATGTTTCATCAAAGCCGGTCTTCTGTTCCCCCATTCTGAAACGCCAAGATGCCACCGTCACATCGGCCCCGAAGTGGACCTTGTCGCTGGCCTCCTGGGCAGAGACCATGGAAAAGACGTCCCAAATGTTTGTTAGCTGACTTGGTTTATAACACCATAGTTAGTGATATGGTATAGTGAAATTTCGGACGTTTGAAATGGTATAGTTAACTTAGCTAACTGAAATTGGGAACGTCCATGGTTTATAAGTCCAACAAAACACTATGGTTTTTGTTGGTGATATATCGAACTAGTTAGTGGGATTATAATCCATTTAGAACTGAAGCACCACCTTGTGGCTACCATCTGATTATTTAACATGTTACTCTGGGGTAAACTAACAGTTTGCTATGGTCATTATCATTATGGCACATTTATAGTGGCCCAGATAGTTTGATGATTTACCTAAAAGGGTGATGTTTCACATCTATCTTAGATCAGCAGAGAGTAGTGGAAGATTGTATGAGATGTCATTAGAAGGTAATGTTTGATTGTGGTTTCAAATAGAAGGATTAGCTAGTAATTAATGCTTAATAGATATCAATAGCTGGAAAAAATTATGGATGGTAGATATTGGATAGATAATTGGATGGTTCAGAAGGGTTAGTAGCAACTACTTGTGATGCAAATTTGGTTGATGCTTAATTGCTAGATGTTTAATAATGGTTTTTAATGGTTGCTAGTTGGAACAACCAGTCCATTGCGCTATGGAAAGCCTCTGGTCCATGATCTTGTGGAGTGTCTCCAAGAAGGCCATGAAACGCGATTGCCCCAAGCTTCTTCCCAAAGTCTGCCAGCGCTTCTCCTTCAGACCCACCTGTGTCTACCCCAAGTGCCTGTAGTCCCTCCACTATGCTGTAACGACGACCAGAAACTCTCCAGAAATGGGGACAGCCCGCTACTTTTGGGATGTTTGTGATATTACCCTCCAACGAACTGGCAGATTTGGGACAATCTGGCGCTGTCAACTCTCAGCCGTGGCATTCGATGAATCATCCGAGGCATAAGAACTTCTGGCTGAGTTGGAAAACCAAAAGCCTGAAACAGATTAATGTGTGTATGTATATACTATGTATACACTATGTCTATGTATATACATATATATATGTATACATATATATATATACGATTATATAATTATATAACTATGTTTTGTCAGGCAATCATCATGTGCAAGCATCAGGAGCCTTTTGGAATTTTGGATGTTTGCCTGAGTGATAAATCAAAAACTACAGAAATTCAACCCTCCACTGACAGTGTAGCAAGACATGGCTTCAAGACGCTTCTGACAGGGTTTGCTGGAGGCGAATCTGTACAAACCTAGACACTACTCAGCGAATTGCTGTTATATAGCCATGAACTATCCGATAACTATCCCCATTTTAGATCATTTTCTGGTTGGTGGTTTCAACCAACCCCTCTGAAAAATGATGGAGTGAAAGTCAGTTGGGATGATGACATTCCCAACTGTTTCTGGAAAGTCATAAAATTAATGTTCCAGTCACCACCAACCAGTCATGCTTGTTGTTATATAGCCATGAACTATTGCCATTTTAGATCATTTTAGATGCTTAAAATGTGGTTACCCTCTGGTAATTTAAGATAGCTATGGAAAATCACCATTTTTAATGGGAAAATCCACTATAAATGGCCATTTTCAATAGCTATGTTAAATTACCAGAGGGTAAACTATGTTAAACCCACCAGTTTTTTTTTGCCCCCCGCACCTTGGCGGTGTCGATGATCTCCTGCGTTCAGAATTTCTTCACCGTGTTGGCTTGGTGAAATGACTCAACTTATGTCACGTGGCAATAGAAAGCCAGAAATCAACCTATACTGGTTGGTGGTTGAGCTCGCTAAGCGCTCCTCTCGCCCGTAATCGCACAGCGCGAAAATTGCAAAACTTTTCGCAAAAAGTCAAAAAATCAAAAAAAAATCGACTTTTCGACTTTTCGAATTTTTCGATTTTTTCGACTTTTCGAGCAGAAATCTCCTGGAATGTATTGGAATGTGAATTTTTCGATTTTTCGACTTTTCGGATTTTTCGATTTTTTCAATTTTTTCGACTTTTCGAGCAGAAATCTCCTGGAATGTGAACTTTTCGACTTTTCGACTTCGAATTTTTCGACTTTTCGAATTTTTCGAATTTTTCGACTTTTCGACTTTTCGATTTTTTCGAATTTTTCGAGCAGAAATCTCCTGGAATGTGAACTTTTCGACTTTTCGACTTTTCGGGTGAAACTTTTCTACCACGGTTGGAGTTTTCAGCGAAAAGTTGCGTTTGAACCACCCAAACAATACACCAAACTGGATGGCAAGCGAGGTACAGGCTTTTTTGGTCGCGAAAATGCCTAGCCAGAAACCCGCAAAAATAGTTGTTCACCGATTCGCGCAAATGCATTGATAGACGCCAAACCATACCTGCTGTTTGAAGCCCAGCACAGGAAGATGGCCGCATCGATTTGGGCTGAGATGGGTAGTTGTTAAATGGATGTGCAAATGAAGTAACAATATCCCCGGTAAGGCTACACACATAATACTATACCATGTTATTTTATAAAATTTGACATTAAGTTGCATTATGCTACATTATGAAATATTTTTTCCACCACACACAACACATCACAATACCATATCATTCTATATGACATCCCATGATGTTATGTTATATTGCATTATTTTATATTGCATTATAACAAAAATAAATTATGTATAAACATATTTTACCTATGGTATTATATTATATAGTATCAGATGATATTTTACCATATTATATTATACTATGCTATATTATTTTATTTTATATTTTATAGGATCTTGTATTTTTTAAAATAATATTATGTAATGTATTATTTTTTAAAGTAAATTATATTTTCTTGTACTATATTAAAGTATATATTTTTTTAAAAATTATATATTATTTCAAAATATATTATATAATATTTACTATATTATATTATATTTTATTTTGTTATATTATATTAATATCATATTATATTATATTGTATTGTATTATATTATATTAAAATAAATTATTTTATACTATTTTATATCATGTTTTGAAATATATGATATTGAATTCTATTATATTAAATTATATTTTTTAATGCTAGTCAATATATATATATAGATTAATATATAAACTATCAGTATCATGACAACTCAGAACTATGCAGCTGTTCCTTATTCATTGTTATTATTTTATCAAGAACGCATACATGACTTTCAAAGTCCAGTTTTGTTGAATATGAAGTGCATTGCGCATGTCATATCCAAGCAAGATCAGCGGACTGCTATATATTTTGTTATTCTTTTTTTGCCACGCTACTGAAATTTCTCTTGAACTTTCCACGCATACGTCATGCTACGCTACTGTAAGTTCTCCTGAACTTTCCATTCATGCCTCATGCTACGCTACTGTAAGTTCTCTTGAACTTTCCGCTCATGCCTAATGCCACGCTACTGAAAGTTCTCTTGAACTTTCCACGCATATGTCATGCTATGCTACTGTAAGTTCTCTTGAACTTTCCACTCATGCGTCATGCTAGGCTACTATAAGTTCTCTTGAACTTTCCATGCATATGTCATGCTACGCTACTGTAAGTTCTCTTGAACTTTCCATTTATGCGTCATGCTACCCTACTGTAAGTACTCTTGAGCTTTCCATTGATGCGTCACGCCACGCTACTGTAAGTACTCTTGAACTTTCCATTGATGCGTCATGCTACGCTACTGTAAGTACTCTTGACCTTTCCATTCATGCGTCATGCTATACTGTAAGTTTTCTGGAACTTTCCACGCATATGTCATGCTACGCTACTGAAAGTTCTCTTGAACTTTGCATGCATACGTCATGCTACGCTACTATCAGTTCTCTTGAACTTTCCACTCATGCGTCATGCTACTCTACTGTAAGTTCTCTTGAACTTTCCACTCATGCGTCATGCTAGGCTACTATAAGTTCTCTTGAACTTTCCATGCGTATGTCATGCTACGCTACTGTAAGTTCTCTTGAACTTTCCATTTATGCGTCATGCTACGCTACTGTAAGTACCCTGGAGCTTTCCATTCATGCGTCATGCTACGCTACTGTAAGTACTCTTGAACTTTTCATTCATGCATCATGCTACGCTACTGTAAGTTTTCTGGAACTTTCCATGCATACGTCATGCTACGCTACAGTAAGTTCTCTTGAACTCTCCATGCATACGTCATGCTACGCTACTGTAAGTTCTCTTGAACTTTCCATTCATGCGTCATGCTACGCTACTGTAAGTTCTCTTGAACTTTCCATGCATGCGTCATGCTAGGCTTGTAAGTTCTCTTGAAGTTTCCACTCATGCGTCATGCTACGCTACTGTAGGTGCTCTTGAACTTTCCATTCGTGCGTCAAAATGATGCAAAACATGTCACGTCGAATTGGTTTCAGAATCGGCAAAAAAACGCAAAAATGCTAGTTTCGTCTAGGCGAAATGCATGTTTTTGAAAAACTGCACCAGAATAAGGGGTTAACGGCCTTAAATATCACATCAAACAAATTCCAATTTGCACGAGCACATCAAATATGATCCATGATACCCCGTTGATCACAAAAAACCCACGGCCTTCTAGAGGCCGTGCTCCTAGTTAGTAGTTGTAGGTGCGATACCACCCACGGATATGGTATGGTATGGTATATGTATATATATATATATATATCTATATCTGTGTGTGTGCATGTATGTACATATCTATATGCATGCGACAATATTGTTATATATATTTATATTTATATTTATATCGGCACAGTACATTACAACAGAATATCAACGAATATCACATGTTTAAACAATTACACCATAATACGGCATGTGTTTTTACAGGATGGCAATTGGATTATGACCCCTAACCCCAAGTGGGAAAACTCTCTAACCCAGGATCATCCCACCCTGCAAATTTGACTGGTTCAGCATTTTCTTAGATGAAGCAGCTTGAAGGAGGCCCATTGTCAGCACAACAGGTCGCCAAAAGATGAAATGCACATAATTTTCCTGCAATATGTTTTGTGAGTGTAGAATAGCGCAGTGACTACCATGTTTTAAATTGTATAAGCATGGCTCATATCAAAGCATTGTTTGATGGGAGGCAACACTACGGTGTTTCCTTTCAAATTTACACAAGAGATAATATCTCTGATGCGTCCCCCTGGTGGCCCTGAGCCAAATACCTGTTCAGCAGTTTTGTGGGTTTTCAGTATCCAGCTTTCAAAAACCCACAAAATCAACACACAAAAATAAAGAAACCCAGTAAATGAGCAACACAAAATCTAATCCTTATACATTGATTGCAGGTTTCCTGCTCCCCTGGAAAGTAACCAAAAATTCGACCAGGAAAGAGCAACCAAACAACAATAAAAAACCCTGTGCGTGTGGATACTGCCTGTGCTCCAATGCCTCCAAAACCCCACGCGGTTTACCACTCTGCCAGGGAAAATTTTGGCAAAAAAACAAAAATTCAAAAAGTCAAAAAGTTTTCGACTTTTCGACTTTTCGATTTTTTTGATTTTTTTGACTTTTCGACTTTTCGACTTTTCGACTTTTCGAACTTTTCGAACTTTTCGAATTTTTCGACTTTTCGAGCAGAAATCTCCTGGAATGTGAACTTTTCGACTTTTCGACTTTTCGACTTTTCGCGGTCAAAAATCGTGATTTTCACGGTGTGACCGCTACCAGCCAGAAGAGCACACAGTGAGCTACCAACCCCTCTGAAAAATGATGGAGTTCGGAAATGTTGGGATGATGACATTCCCAACTGTTTCTGGAAAGTCATGAAATTCCATGGTTCCTTTGACCACCAACCTATAGAAATGTGAACTCAATTGGGGATTTCTCAAGTTACCTATGAAATTAAAGGAAATGACTGGGGTATATATGAATTTCCAGCAAAACCAGCTATGACTTTGGGTACCATCCGCTACCAGGCTTTTGACCCACAACATCACAACCAAATGAAGTGAGTTCTATGGATCATAGGGGTTAGACAACCCACATGTCACTGAAAAACATTGAAAAACCTCACCTACCGTAGTACATATGACAGTACCTATATCGTATTGCAAAAGATTGAAGTATCAAGGTACCACTCCCAGGTCGCGCCGGAAAATGGTGACTTCTCCGGCAAGTTGTCAGCGAAATATCCGAGGTGGTTGAAATTCAACGTACATTTTACCCTCTGGTGATGTCTAACATAGCTATTGAAGCCATGGCCATAGAAATAGTGAGTTTTCCCAGCTATAAAATGGTTGAAAATGGCCATTTATAGTGAGTTTTCCCATTAAAAATGGTGGATCTTTCCATAGTTATGCAAACGTTTACCAGAGGGTAACCAGAAAAACATGTGCTTGTCCACAATATATCGAGATTTGTGGGGAGAGGAACACAACAAGACATGGATATGTAAGTGACAGCAACTGTTTTTTCCTCAATGCAACAGCAACTAGAGGATATCACCAATGAGACGAAATCTGTACCTGGGATGTTCATGCCCCTTTTTGGCACTTTGCCAAGGTTATCCGGAGAACAACTGCTTGCCTCAAACACGGTGGTATTGACGCTGCATGTGTTGGAAAGATAGGGTGGAGGGTTCTGAAATCCTGCACCACCATTTTGGATGGTTGAAGCCTATCATGGGATAAATTGCCCAGCGTTTTCAACTGGTGCAAACTTTCGCTGGCCCATACACAGTATGTATATATGATGATATATGTTTACAGAAATAGGACAGCATGAGGCTTAAATTTTCATACAGTATCAATTCACCAGATATAAAATATCTCACCAGATTCAATTCACCAGATATTTATTCACCAGATATTCATTTACCATATCCCATAGGATCCATGTATGCTATATATATGGTAACATGGATCCCATCAATATACCCCCTTTATGTTAGCATATATACCAGCACCATGGATCCTATGGGTATGCAGAAACACGATTGATTCACCAGATTCCGAGGAAAATTCAGACTCCTTCTTGATCCTTTCCAGCGTCTCCAAAGACGGCCTTGAATGACACGCCGCTTCGAGCGCCGGTTCCGGGAGCCGTGAAAATCCCAGCTGGTTTACCAGGGGAGCAACCCTCAAATCACTGGCCATTTCAGGTTCCTAAATTGGAGGTACCTACCATATATAAGGTCTATGTATATGGAAAACTTATGTAACTATGGAAAATCACCATTTTCTAGCTGGGTAAATCCAAAATTTCTATGGCCATGTTCAATAGCTATGTAACAGATTACCAGGGGAGTAACCCTCAAAACCTGCTGATTTATCTGACGGCATCAACAACATTTGGGAAGGGATGGTAAGTGGAGACAAAAATCTCGGTGGGCTAACTAGTTCAATATACCACAGGATGGGGCCCCCGTTCGATAGCGTTCAGTTGGTTTATAAATGGCTGAATTCTATGGTTTATGGTAGATATAACTATAGATAACTATGGTAGTTGGGGTTTATAAACCAACTTATAACTGGGGGGTGCAATGTACCAGGGACCCTTTGTGTTGTGTTTAAGGCTTCACATCTGACCTCGACTAGGGCTTGGTGAAAAAATGCGGATGGATTCACCGGCGTAGCGGCTACCGGCTTCATCCACATGCGGATGGCCCATGTTCAATCAATGGTCATTTCAGGAACCTACATTGTTGGTACCTACCATATATAAGGCCTATGTATATCAGGCCTTTGTTTCAGGGAATATCCCTAGAAAATATGCCCAGAAATCTGGTACCATATAATTATAAGGCCTATGTAAGGCCTATGTAAGGGAATATCCCCAGAAAATATGGCCAAACATATGGTACAGTACCATTGAATCAACCCCAATTCTGGCCTGATAAACAACCACAAGGGGATGGTGAATGACCCGCAGCCCATGATGCCTGCCTTGGGGATGGCTTGTGAACAGTTCATAACCGGCTTAGGGATTGGATTTATGGTGGAACCCAATAAAAATCCGCTGAAACCAATGGGAGATCTCCAGGATCCAATACATGGAGGTACGTAAACGTACCATATGTTTGGCCATATTTTGTGGTGATATTCACTGAAACTAAGGCCTGAAAAATAGGCCTTATATATGGTAGGTACCTCCATTTTAGGATCCTGAAATTCCCATTGATTCTGAAACCAAAGATTTCAGATGTTCCACATCCGCTGCCGCAAAAAAAAACCTCTGGCCAATGGGCAAATGCACACTTGCCAACTTCGATGGCGTTCTTTGATGATTTCAAGGTCCATTTTTGGTGAAAAATTGAATTCCACATGTGATGAATTCCAAGGTTTGTTTGATTAAAATTCATTAAAGGGATAATTTCCAGGGATCAAAAAAATCTTTGATCACTTGAAACTTATTGAAACTTGGAAAAAGGTTGAAACCCTCCATATTTCTTTGTCGTCGTTAAAGCTCGGCTACGCTACTCCGATTCCAAGGGATGATCATGGATTGCCTGGGAAAATTTACGACGGAAACCCCTCAAAAATTGATGGTAAAAACATGCAAAAGAAACCATGTTTTCCGGTCGAGATTTTCAGAAAACCAATCCATTGATACTAAAATTCATGGTAAACCATGGTTTCCATTGGTTTCCGGTTAAGATTTTCCCAAGAAAACCAATCCATTGAGACACACCGCACTTGACCAAAAGCCGATGACATTTTCGGCCTGACAAGCTCCTCGGGCATCGTCTCCAGCCTTGGCGGGGGAATTTCCCAACCACCAGAAAAAAAAACAGAGAGTTTTCTGGGATACCCTCTGGTTATGTCAAACATAGCTATTGAAAATTGCCATTTATAGTGGATTTTCCCAGCTATAAAATGGTGATTTTCCATAGTTACGTTAGTTTACCAGAGGGTATTTTTTTTCTTTTTCATGGTGAATATGGTGAATAATTATGGGATACTATGGGATACTTCGTGTTTTTATGACCCTAGGGGATGGTGACGATGGTGACGGTGTCCGATAAAAACATCCACGATGATCCGATCGTATTCCCCTAGATCAAGCCATAGTCTCCTTGGTTAGAAGTAAAGTAAGAAGCAACCTAGCTATATCACCCAGTTGGAAGTAACTAAGTAGGCGAAGGAGGTGTTCAACCCCGGGTATAGTGATCCCAAAACAGATAGAAGAAAAGTTGGAAAGTTGGAAATTGTACTTTCTGGTAGTTTTCTGGTAGGTTTAACCACTAAACAATCGGCAAATAGTGCAGTTAGGCACATGTTACAACGGTGCCAACCTCCGTCGGCAAAAAACAAGATCCGCGTGGTTCACCGGAAGTGCTGCTGGATCTGTGCGGTAGAATTCACCAAGAAACATGGGGTTACCCTCTGGTAAACGTACAAAAAACTATGGAAAATCACCATTTTCTATGGGTAAATCCACTATTTCTATGGCCATGTTCAATAGCTATGTTTGTTTACCAGAGGGTTATTTTTCCAAAGCTGGGGATTCATGGGAGTGTCACCAAGATTGGATGGTTGAGCATCCAATTTTTGGAGTTTCACCAGAAAGCATCGCAGATTTTCACCCGAAATAGCGATGTTTTTCCCTTTAAACAAATGGATGACCTCAAATCATGAGGAGTTCTGCGCGAGTATTGTATCTCTTCATTATGTCATCAAATCTATCCAGATTACATTAAGATTACATAAGTGTATTCTATATATCTGGGAAAATTATCATATTTCACTAACCTGAATTAAGGCCATTTGGGGATGATTTCCCTTATCAACCATGATTCCAGTGAGGGAGGACAGTGAGGTCGTGTCGTGATCAAATTTACCCAGATAAGTGTATTCTATATATACATACGTAATCAGCAAAAAAAACATAATTATTACATAAGTAATTGTGACACTCATATGTAATAATTATATATACAGTAGATTACATTATATGTATAGATTACATTATATATTGCATAATTATAATGTATACATAAGTGTATTCTATGTATATAATCACACGTATGTATATCGTGTGTATGTGGTCACCTCCTCTACCAGTGGTGACCAGAACCTTGGCAGATGGCACTTGACATTGGAAACATGCAAGGAAATAGAACAAACGAGCTTCTGGTGGGAGGGTTACGTGTATATATATATATACACATACACATAATTATACATAAGTTCAAATATAAAATCATATATATAATCATATATATATAATCATATATATATATAATCATATATAAAATCAAATATATATGTACATGTTCTCACAAACACAGCTATTGCTTCTTTTCCACTCCCCTTGGCGCCCGAGATTTTCCGCCCAAGACACTGCGCCCGAGTTTGGGAGATCACGGTGCCCAGTGTCACCTTGGATTTTGCCAGAAAAAAAACGGATGTTTCACCACCAAAAAAATTGGATGATGCAAATTCATCAGCACACACACACACACATATATATATATATGAATAGATATATATATATAGAGATATATAGATGTATAGATATATAGATATATAGATGTATATATATATATCTATACATCTATATATCTATATATATATAGATAGATATAGATAATGATATATAGATATATAGATATATAGATATATAGGTATATAGATATATAGATATATAGATATCTAGATATCTAGATATATAGATATATATGTATATATAGATAGATAGAGATAGATATAGGTATAGATATAGAAAGAGATAGAGATATAGATAGAGATATAGATATAGACATATAGATATAAATTCATATATATATATAGATATAGATAGATATAGATATATATATATATATAGATAGATATAGATAGATATAGATATAGATATAGACTAGATACTAGATATAGATATAGACTAGATATAGAAATAGATATAGATTTAAATATCGATATAGATATTGATAGATAGATATCGATATAGATATAGATAGATAGATATCGATATAGATATAAAGATATATAGATATATAGATATGTAGATATATAGATATATAGATATATAGATAGATATAGATAGATGTAGATAGATAGATATAGATACAGATATATTTATATATATAGATATAAATAGATATATAAATACAACAAGGGCCCTCACTGACGACGGCTGGTTTGCAACCGTCTAGCGACCCCTTTTTTGGAACCGGGTGCTGAGTCAGTCTTGTCTGTATAAGGGCTGGCTGCGCTGAATGAGAGTCGCATTCCCTTCCAGCCATTCCCGATCTTCTGCAGCGAGCTGCGCCAGTTCGGTGGTCCAGACATTGGATGTGACAATGAGCGCCACATTCCAAACCCAGATGCGATAAACATACATGCCTGTAGCCGAGTGCCCAAGTGAAATTTCGGCAGGCGGCGCCTGAAACAGTTTTTTGTGCTTCAAGACCAGATGGACACTAGCTTCATCAAACACCACACACCGGTGCCGTAGCACATCATATTCCCTCATGTCGGGCTCCAAAACCCCCGAACAATTGGTTTCATACGTGTGATCTGCACCAAAGAGAGACCGTGCATAGACAGTCTTCCCCATGCGCGTTGGGCCATTCAGAACCAAGAATTTCCGGCGATGCATGGGCCGCGTGAACTGTGGCAAGAACAGCTGCGTTACTTCTGGTAGTTCCACTGGCTCTTTCTGCAGTGGGCGCAAGAGCTCTGCTGCAGCAGCCTGCTGCTGCTGAATGTACAGCTCGCGTTGCTTCTGGCCATGGCACTTCAAGTTCTCACAGTAAGCACGAATGTTGCGCTTGCATTGGACGTAGTGCTGCTCGGCACACTCCTTGCTAATCTTATCCCCCTGCCAGAGTCCAGTTACCCAATCGGGGCTTACTGTGAAAGTCTGGTATGCAGGGCAAGTGGTCGTGCGAAAAATGGACCCTTTCTTCTCCACTTGGAGATAAAAGTGGCCTTGATCCACAGCACGACGGACTGAACGCCCACGAGCCTACGAACAATCCAAGGAGATGTGCGGCTTGCACCCACGAAATGCCAAGCTTTGTCCAGACAGGTGCACTTATCGCCCTGGCCGCACATGAGGGTGCATGGGCCATGAAGGTAAGGTTATAGGGCCTATATGCAATCTGTTTCTGGTTGTACCCATCACAAACGAACATCAACGAGGACCGAAAAGATTTGGGGGAGATGCGTCCTCACATTGGACGGGGTAAACCAATGACTGCCAGGCATTGGGAATGAGAAAAAAAATGACATAATATTGGGGCCTGCGAGACAGGTGTCTGCATTGCTGCCAAGGCGCGGGTGTCAAACATCATATGCAAGTGAATGGACGGCGCTCTCCGTTGGATTGTCACCTCTGTGTGGAGCTCCAAGGCGGTGCTGACCCGTTCAAGGCGACACTTGTTGCCGAGCTCGGTCATGCAACTTTGGAAGTCATCCCAAATGGCAAGCACCTGCGGTGCGGTGCGTAAGCCGGCAGTGGGCAGATCAATGTCGACAGATGGTCCTGCAGCAAAAAGCTCTAGGGAAGGTTGATGCTCAACCATGCTAAAGGAGCCGCTGTATCTGAACATAGTACCAGTGCCCTTGTATGCTTGCGGCGACGGCTCGTTGACAATAGGCTCTTCGACATGCCACGCTGCCAGTAGGTCACGTGCAGCACGTGCAAACTTGACAGGAATTTGCGGCAACATGTCGCGCAAAATCTGCCTGTCGGCTTGTGCAAATGAAGCTCTCCACCGCTGCCGCTTGGGCTGTCCGTGCTCATTCCGAGCGGCCATTCGCTGCGCAGCCCATTTGTCACGCAGCCATATCAGAAGTTGCTTGCGTGACTCCCGGTCCGGCGGGCCGTCTGGACGCGGCTGCTTACCACAGAGCCGCCGTCTGACCTGCATGATCATGCGTTTGTCTGCCGAGTGACATGAATGGCAATGTCATGGCTTCTTTGAAGCTGAGCAGTCCATGACAAAGGGACCGGTACAATGCACAGCATGCAATGTCTCCCCATGCTCTTTCTGTGGCTGTTGTCCCACTGCTGGAATCAGTGAAAAACCGTGGCAAGAGCATGAACGGGATCAAACTACGGGCATGGAGTGCGACGAAACCCAAACGACAGCAGGGACAAGATCGGTCGGAGGACCGCGGAGGACCACCATTCGGCAAAAACTGTGGAAAAACAGGGGAAAAAATGACGGTCCTCCAAATCCGCCTCTGGGAGAATAGAATTATTTGTACCTAGAAGCGACGTTGGAGGACCACAGGACCACACAGGACCACACGACCTAGAAGCGACGTTGGACCACACGTCCAAGCATTCTAAAGCCATCCCTTCCGACAGGCCTGGTGCTTTTGTTGCTTCTCTCTCTCTCTCTATACAAATATACGTGTATATATATATATAGATACATATTTATATTCTATATACTTGCTTATATATATATACATACCTATATATACCTAGTCTAGATTTTAGACTGCAACCTACGGATGTGTCAGTCTATATATCTATATAATATATATATATATAGTTATAGTTCTTCTCCTGCCACTGTCTGCATCACATAGACAGCCTTTCCATTCACTCAGCCACATGTCTACAGCACGTCAGGTACAACAAGTCAACATGCCACGTAGAAGATGCTTAGGTAAACCTGTCCAACAAGTAACTGAACCGCCCATATGGACAACAGAAACCGTGTTGGACCCAACTAACTTCGGAGACACATATCGTGTACCCATGGATTGTATACACACCCTTCTTTGCATCACGTTGTTTACAAACTGCATATGACAATACCAACTCTCAGGTATAAGTGCAACGCTATGGTGGGAGAACCACCTGCACAGCCACCAGCTGCACCACGTGCCCAGGTGCACTGTCAGTGAAACCGGTGGGATAGCCACCTGCACAGCCACCAGCTGCACCACGTGCCCAGGTGCACTGTCAGTCAAACGGTCCGGTGGGATAACCACCTGCACAGCCACCAGCTGCACCACGTGCCCAGGTGCACTGTCAGTGAAACAGGAAACAGGGCGGTGGGATAACCACCTGACAGTGGGCTAACCACCTGCACAGCCACCAGCTGCACCACGCGCCCAGGTGCACTGTCACTGACGGGGCAGTCTGATTACCACGTGTCGGTGGGATAGCCACCTGCACAGCCACCAGCTGCACCACGTGCCCAGGTGCACTGTCAGTGAAACGGGGCGGTGGGATAACCACCTGCACAGCCACCAGCTGCACCACGTCACGTGCCCAGGTGCAAAACGGTACGGTGGGATAACCACCTGCACAGCCACCAGCTGCACCACGTGCCCAGGTGCACTGTCAGTGAAATGGTGCGGTGGGATACCCACCTGCATAGCCACCAGCTGCACCAAATGCCCAGGTGCACTGTTGCCCACCACCAGCCGCCAGCACCAGGCGCAAAGGCCCCAGAACGGCAGCATCAACCTGCGTGCTGGCGTGCAATGTGTGGAGTCTAGTAGAGATTTTTCGACATGGCCCCGCTAACAAGGAGAGATACTCACCCTGGAAGTTTGATGGTTACTGACTGCCTCAACATGCTTACATTCGTCGTACACACATGGTACAACCATGAGCCCATGAGCATCATATGTTTTGATTCTGACGGGTTTGCCTCCAGCACTGCCAGCTTTGCGCCCAAGAGCTGCCAGAATGCACCGGCCGCAAGCAGCGCCAGCCCGCGCCCGCACCAGGCGCAGCATAAGCAGCGCGCCAGCATCCATCGCTGCTGCCGCAGCAGGAGAACGTTAAATCACTGCCAGGATACGGCGTGTGTTTTGTCTGACACCTCCGCAACATGGTGCCACATGCTTGCGATAGTGCGAGCTTCGTCCATAATCACTCCAACAGCCAACATGCAAAGCAGTCTTCTGAATGGAATGAATGAATGCATGACTCAAATCACTCCCACAGCCAACATGCAACATGGGTGGCCGGCTGCGATAATTTTCCGACACCTTTGGCGTCACAGTGTCAGTCACACACAAGTGCACACTGCGTGCGCAAACTGGCAACGTCCTCACGCGTTTGCGTGCCATTGTGACACAACCAGGACGACATTGGCGCCCTGCACGGCCAAATGCCAACACACAGTCTCCTGCATGGCTGTGCAATTGTCACAGCCATGCCTCTGCACACACACTGCAAACATCAGGATCGACCATTGGCAACCTTGACCGCCAACAGCCAGGACAAATCTTCCGTGCTCAGTTTTCCAGCCTGCTTCATGATACGACGTCTTTTTTTCTCCTCCCCCCGGCACGGACAACATGCTTCAAACAAGCTAGCATTGATCAATGTAGTGCCTTCCTGCGGCATCAGTGATTACGAAGCAAACATGCAGGAATGAATGGCTGTCATTGATGGGAAAGCAAGACAGGACATTAGCATGTCGGATGGCCACCAGTCTATGTCCTGGCTCTTCACCTCTCGGGTTGCTTGCGCCAACTGCCGTTTCAGCGCCTGCCGTGCTGCTTTCAAATCTGCCAAACGGTCTGCCGGCGGAGCAACGGCTGCAACATCAGAAGGTGCTTCTGACGACATGGCTTTTCAGCACGTATGTCAAGGTCAGGGTCACCCAGGGCAAGTTCCTTCTGGCCAAAAGCTTGCAGAGACTTTTGACAGTTGCTTCTGCGTTGCACGCTGCAAGCACATGCTTGCAAAGAGATAGACACTACCACTAGCCCACACAGGGAACCCACAAGCATGCAACTCGCCTTCCGCAAGCTGGACCCTAATAGTAGATATAGATATAGATATAGATATATAATAGATGTACAATAGATATATATAAATAGATAAATAGATATAGATATATAGATATATAGATATATAGATATATAGATATATAGATATATAGATATATAGAGATATAGAGATATGGAGATATGGAGGTATAGAGATATAGAGATATAGAGATATAGAGATATAGAGATATAAATATATATATAGATATATAGATATATAGATATATAGATATATAGATATAGATATATAAAAATATAGATATATAGATATATAGATATAGATATATAGATATATAGAAATGATATATAGATATAGATAGATAGATAGATAGATGCATTTATCAGAAGGGACCCCCAGTGATGTTTGTTGGTTTATAAACCATTATAACCCCCATTAACTAGTTCGTTATATCTCCCATAAACCATCAGCCACTTATAAGGCAACTCTGTGGGGAGATTTGCCCGTTGCCCAAACACAACGGGAGCAACGGAGTACCTCAAATGATGACCATGTTTCCAAAGAAAACATCAGCAAATCTTGGATACTGTAATTACCCTCCGGTAAACTAACATAACTATGGAAAATCACCATCTTTCATCTTTAATAGGTAAATCAACTATAAATGGACCATTAATTACCTTGATTCTGTGTTTATTGCTGGTTGGTGGTGCAATAACCATCTTGAAAAATATGAAAGTCAATGGGAAGGATGACATTCCATATATTATGGAAAATAAAAAATGTTTGAAATCACCAACCAGAATGTTTTTTTAAATATTCTTGCTATATCTCCCCATCTTCAGCAAAAGATTGAAGTATTCAACAACTCATCCCAGGCATACCCGGAGGCTGACCAAATATTTACCCTCTGGTAATTTAACGTTATGATTGGAAATGCCCCTTCAGACTTGAGGCATGCACATTAAAAATAAGGTGATTTTCTATAGCTATGTTAGTTTACCCTCTGGTAAACTAACATAACTATGGAAAATCACCATTTTTAATAGGTAAATCCACTATAAATCACCATGTTCAATAGCTATGTAAACGTTTACCAGAGGGTACCAGAGGGTAAATCTGGCTCAATGATTTAACAACAATACCTTGGTATCCGGCGATGTCCCCGTGAAATTCTGCTCGGTGTTGCGACCGTGTTTTTTTTCCTATGTATCCCACTACAAACCATGAAATATCCTGGTTGTGAATGTTTCGTTTCAGTTTCACCCCATGAAAAATTGTATCTACATTAATATCTACCATAAAAAAATCCATAAACTATATTTGTTCAGCAATAAAAGATCATTTTGTCAACCCACCTCAACTATATTTCACCAAACAAACATTATCAACAATGGGTCGACCATATTATCGACCATTCTCAAAAAATAAAAATAAATAAATAAACACAAAATTATCGACCATTCGCAATTTTGATATTTCACTATTAACACTAATATTTCACTAATATGTCACTAATATTTCACTAATATTTCACTAGTTTGTCCCGTTAAATGACAGATCAAACCACCACCCGTTGGGCAACCCCACCGCCGACTCCGCCAAAAGCCCCGGACGGCCTGTCGGCGGTGGCGGAAGATCGGTGACGACTTGCAGCCTTTTTAGATCCAATAAGAAGGGTGGATGTGATATTGTGTTTTTATTCCATGTAGATCTAGGAATCTAGCAAAAACTTAGATCAATGACAATCTATGAATCTAGCAAAGCTATTTATGTAGATTTAGATTTATGAAATCGACATATATTTCGCGATTATATGATATTTGAACACAGCACCATGTAAATCTACAGCAACATGTGCATACATGGACTTGTCTGAATCTAGTTTCCACCACATTGTTCTGGTCATTTCCGGGTCCGAAATTCCCCCCATTTCCAAACACACCCCAAATACCATAACTGGTTGGTGGTGCAATAACCATCTTGAAAAATATGAGTCAATGGGAAGGATGACATCCCATATATTATGGAAAATATAAAATGTTTGAAACCACCAAATACCATAATTGTTCATTATAACGTAGTGTAATATACAATATATATGCAAATAAATATTGTTGGTAATATGGTGGATAACGGGATGTTTTACCCTGGGTATATATTATATATACCCAGGGTAAAACATCCCGTTCTCCACAATATTTAGTGGTATTATCATATATATATATCATATTCCTGGGAAACCATAGGTTTCCACATCCATGTTAGTTTGGCCCTAGGGTAAAACTAATTATATTGTTGATAAGATATCCCATGATAATATCTATGTGGTATTTACTAACATACATCAAATATCTATTGTAGATATGATATATCTACATAATTATTATACTGGTAGTTCTACACCAGAATAGTTGAAATACCAATCTAATGTAGATGTTGATATGGTATATCTACACCAGACTAGATCTACATAATTCCCATGAATTCCCTATCTATTGTCGTTGAAAATATGGGAATTCGCATATTTCTGGGTAAAATCTAATATTTCACTAACCTGAATCTTGCGGCCATAAAAGGGGATGATTTCCTATATCTAAACCATGATAAACCAGGCTTCGGGAGGACAGGGTTCGGTCGTGATCTAAGTTACCCAGACCATGGGATATCTATGGTTTGTGGGGTACATACCCTCTGGTAAACGTTTACATAACCATGGAAAATCACCATTTTTTATAGGGAAATCAACTATACATGGTAGATATTTTGCTTCACCAGATCTATCCAACTCGGCCATGCTCCGCCGTCGAGCTCCCGGACAAAAGGCTTGGATGGTGTCCATCATGACCTCGCTCGCGACACTCGCCGGCGTCGGTGGTTAAGGGTGGGGACGCCAAGGAACATCGACATCGTGGTCTGCAACTCTTCAACTGTCTTCCCCCAAAAAAACAACCTCAACTTACCCGGCCTGGTAAACAAACATAGCTATTGAAAATGGCCCAGTCGAAATCGTGGATTTTCCCATGAAAAATGGTGATTTTCCATAGTTATGTTAAATTGCCAGAGGGTAGGTCGGAAAACGAAGTCGGTGAAAGTGCTCTTTGGGAGCATATTTTAACAGACCAAATGTGGTCAAGAAATCTTCAGAAGATGCACGGTGAAGTTTCACTGATGGGTCTCCATGATATACCCACTATATCCCAAGCAATGTTTTTTTGCTGTCCCATTTTCCATGGGTAGTTCCCATTCAATCACCACTATTCCACTATAGTCGTCCCGTGTTCCTCCTGAGTTTTCTGCAACAACCAACTTACCGAGCGATTTGGATGGAATTACCAATATATTAATCCTATTTGGGCTTATATAGGGGTATATGGTACCAGTTCTTAACTGCGATAGGCTTAGAAATAGTCGCCACTCATGGAATATTGCTAGAATATGACAGAATCCTGTTCGTTGCGATGATTCCATATCAATATCATTCAAAATTACCCATGGTGTTGTTAACATTAACATATTCTGGTTGGTGGTTTCAACCCCTCTGAAAAATATGAAAGTCAGTTGGGAAGGATTATTCCCAATATATGGAAAGTCATAAAATTCCATGGTTCCAAACCACCAACCAGATTAACACGTATATAAGAATTAATCTGAATCTTCCATATATTCACCCTATAGGATTGGTATCACAATTATCCCCCATTTACTTCCATGATTGTCCCAGCATTCGAAAGCTCCATTTCCGGGGAATTGTACCAAATATGTCCCCATGGTTTTCCCATGATCTTCCACTGAACAACCGAAAATTTGGTGGTTTCCCAAACGTTACCCCAAATCACCCAAGTCATTAGACCTAATTTGAGTCTTGATTTCAAGAACGCCCCCATTTGCACGTTAAAAAAAATCCCAGACATTGTCCCATCCAAACCTCCATTTCTAGGTGATTCTCCCATTCCCCTGGTTTTCCCATGGATATTCCCATGGATTTTCCCATTTTCCCACGGTTTTCCCATGGATTTTCCCATTTTCCCATTGTTTTCCCCTAGATTTTCCGATTTTCCCATGGATTTTCCCATCCAAAAACCACCCAAAAAAAACGGGGGCAATCCATCCCCGACTTTTGGCCGAGGGACCGCCCCATCGGAGCCGTCGGCCTTCACCATGTAGTGAGGGCCTCGGTACATAGTCAGGCGAAAAGCTGGGGAGTTCCCAAAAGTAGAGTAAATAATATAAAAATAGAAAATTATAAATAGATAATGTATAGATAATGAATGATAATTATAAAAAATCCAGGATAATCATGTATAATAATGGATCTATAGTCTATACATTCCCATTATAAATAATCCAGGGTAATCATGTATAATGGAGGAATGTCTAGATCCAGATCTCTTGTCTGGTAGATATGGATTCAACATGATTCAGAAATGGAGAGTTCACCTCTATAGAGTACCCTCTGGTAAACGTTAACAAAAAACTATGGAAAGATCCACCATTTTCAATGGAAAAATCCAGTATAAATGGCAATTGTCAATAGCTTTTTGTATGTTTACCAGAGGGTAAATAATCCAAAAAAGCTCTGAGTTGATTCGTTTTTGTTTCGTCCCCAAAAAGATACGCTTTACGTTTGGATCATGGAAAATCCATCGCAAAACCGCCCCTCCATCGCTTCAACGCCAATGATTTAACCACCGGAAAATCCATGGAAGAAGCATGTTTTACAAATACAAAACGCTTGGTGGAACTACTACCACGAATCGTTTTTGTTGGTTAGTGAACTACCCAGTTTTTTGAGAAGTCCCACTGGATGAGCCAGGGATATAATCTACTTAGGATTCGTGGGATAAGCCACCAAGTGTGTATATATATATATTCATTTGTTATGAATAACGATATTTCAGCCCTGGATTGATTTCCTAAACTTCCTTTATTCGCCTATGGCATATTTATGCAAACCAAGCATCAAAGATATAGGTATTCAACATTATATCCTTATTCCTGATGGTTGATTTCCATCAGAAAGACCAAAATGTTAGTAAAGCAATGTCATAAACCAACGATATTTGGATTTTTATACCAACCATACATGATATGTTTTTTGTTCCATAGCCACTTGTCGTTGCTAATCTCAATCTCCCGCGGCAGCCGCGGCACAAGTGGTCTGCATTGCGGCCATCCTTGGATGCAGGATGCAGTGAATACCTCATGAATACAAGATGGGCCACTGGAAGATATCATGGTTACCATCTGGTTATTTAACATAGCCATGGAAAATAGCCCGTTTATAGATGGTTTACCTTTTAAACATGGTGATTTTCCATGGCTACGTTAAATAACCAGATGGTAATATATGGTTATTATATGGTTATAGACGGTTAATGGTTAATATATGGTTTTTAATACAATGAATAGTACTTCTATGGCCATTTAAATAAATGATATCAGGATAATTTTAAGTGGTAGTTTGGAATATAGTAAGATAATGTAAGATATGTATTAGGATTGGCAATATAACACATTAGTGATATCATTTTGGTATCAGGATATTCCCCACTTTATGTTGGAATATATGTAAGATTAGGAATAACACTATAAATCTCAGAATATGTTGACCAATATTCCAGAATGTATACTTAGTATATTCCCATATAGATTGGCATCTTAGTATATTCCTATTTATTTCATGGGGGTTTCCAATCCATAGGGGTAGCCCAAAGCCAAAAGCCTCCAAAATGTGACCGTGACTTAGTCATGAAAAAAATCGTGACTTGGGGTACGCCTTTTTTGGAAACCTCCATAAGTCTAATTTTATTCCTAATATGGGGATGGGTCAAAACCCTGGTACCTAGTGAACCCCAAAATAGCTGGGATTTATGGATGTTCATCCCACTAAAAATGTATCTATAGGTATTGACCCATACCCATATATTCTCATGTAATCTCATGTATATCTATAATATATGTATCTACTTCTCCCCAAAATGATAGAAAAGGATATTCTCCATTTTTATTGGGCAAATCCACTATAAATTGCCATGTTCAATCGCTACAAAAAACCCTCATCCTTCACCATCCAAAAACTTCTATCGTCTCACTAAAAATAGTGATATATTATGGCATGGTTCTATCTTCTTGGGGGGAAAACAATATTCCTCCGATATACTTGAAAGTCTTGAGTTTGTACTTTCTTAGTTGGTCGCTTTGAAATGACACATGCATACCCTCTGGTTATGTCAAACATAGCTATTGAAAATGGCCCAGTCGAAATAGTTGATTTTCCCATTAACAAAATGCATATCCTCTGGTAATTTAACATAGCTATTGAAAATTGCCATTTATAGTGAGTTTTCCCATTAACAATGCGGATTTTCCAGTTCGCTATGTAAGCCCGTTTACCATGTCGGGTCGTCGAATCGATACATGAGTACCCCAGTCTGGAGTCACAGGATATATTCGACATATGGCAGTGTGTCAAAACCCATGTAGTACCCCTGTAGTTCACATCAAGTCATAGCTGGGTTAAAAGGGATGTGAATAACCCACTAAAAATACGGTATTTTCATAGGTATTGATCCATAGCCATAAAGACTATCTAAAAGTACCTCTAATTCTAACCATAATGCAGGAAAACCAAGGAACATAATCTAAGATACTCCAGAACCACACAGTGGAATTCATCATCCTGCAAGAAATAGTCCAGTTTACTGATCCATCTAAACCCATTGAAACCCAAAACACATTAAAAAACCTTACAAGCTTACAAGCCCATGTTTAAGAAAAATAAATCGTCGACCCATCTGGATCATTTGTAATCATCGAAGCCCAGGTGTTTCAGATTACCCAACGTTAACACAACGCAAACATGGAGTTTTCCTAAGTCATAGGGTACCCTAATCATCCATTTCTTCATAGGATTTTCCATTGTAAACCATCCAGCTATTGGGGAAACTTCATTTATGGAAACCCCCAAAAAATAATTGTATACATATATATATATAATATTGATCATTATTAACCATCATTCACCATCATTAACCATTATTAATCATTATTAAAGCCTCGTGACGACTTGGAAACCTCCACATTTTTCAACATCCGCCCGAGCTTCAATTGTTGCAGTGCCGGTGGCATCCCTGTGGGTTTACCACTGCGCGATGTGGCCACAATGTGGTCCTGCGATTTTGGACACTTCGAAACTTGATTGGCGGAAGTTTAGTCAGTTGAATCATTTTTGCCAATAAATAGGGTTGCATTTTTTTTTTTGGATTTTGTTCCCGTTTTTTTTGGGATGTTTTCCCGTTTTTTTTTTTGTTTTTTTCCCGTCCTTTCTTCCCAAAAAAAATAACCCTCCAAAAATATTTAGGGAAATCCATATAACTGACTAATATTTAGTTGGGGAATTTCAATAATGTTTTGCCACTTATATGGATTTCCCTAAACATTATTGATATTCCCCAATACATTGGTTCAATAAAAACGGGATTCCAAGCAGTTTAATAGGGATATATTGAACCAATGTGTTGAACAGATATCATTGATATTCAATTAATAGGGATTTCCCTGATGGATTCTGATATTCCCCAAGACATAACGGTTTGTATCAACCCCAATCATCCACCAGCCGAGGTTGGAAAAATCATCAGGAACCAATTTTGTCAGCAATTTCAGTGGAAGAAACCATTTCAGAAATGCAACGTAGAATTTAATAAATCATACTTCCATTATATATATATATATTCCATTGAACTGTTAGCACCCGTTAATTTGAACCAGGTTAGATACTTGCTTCAACAATTTCTCATCCAGTTGTTTTGATTGTTTTATTTTTCCCATGTAACCTACTTATAGATACTTATAGATACTTATCTAGAATCATATTTCATCAGAACTTGGATGCCCACAAAACCAAAATCTAGTATCATGTGCGCCTTACCCTCTGGTAAACTAACAGTTTGCGAACTGGAAAATCACCGTCTTTAAGAACGGTAAATCAACAAACTAATGGGCCATGGCTTCAATAGCAAACTGCAACAAATTACCCGAGGGTAACTATGGGTAAACGATAGGGGAAAATCCATATATTATAGTTGATTATCCATATTATGTCATGTCATATAATAGTTAATCATCAAGGTAATAGTGATATTATTAGCCTCTGGTAAATTAACATAACTGTGGAAAATCATCATTTGCGCCTCCATCAGCTGAAGTTGCATGAGGTCTTACTCCCAACAGCCCTGACTGGGTCGACCGATCTCTGTGCAAAGCTCGGTTCATCTAAATATATGACTTAAATCACCATTCAATGTTCAAATGTCATACCAAGTTGGTTAGTTATATCCCATTGTATTTCATAAACTAATGTTGTTATATGCTCTATATAGTCAAATGGTCTCTAAATCAAAGCAACATTTATATTCCCACTAGACCCTGACAAAAAGTTGATCATATGCCATCGATTCCACAAGGAAAAAATAAACAATGAAGCACCATTGAAAATCATCATAAATCATCTATGTCTATGGGCCACGTTCCATGGTTATGTTCCATTGTTCAAAAAAAACTATAAAACACCATTAAATATGTCATTTAATATGTGAATCATCATAAATCATCTATTTCTATGGGCCATGTTCCATAGCTATGTCAATGAACCAAAGGATATATCCCATTAATACCAAAAATAGAAACACTATTAAAACATCATTAAATCCCTACAAAACAGTTAGTCATGCTCCATGGATCCAAAAAACAATGAAACATAATGAAATACGATTAAATGTCCCTTTATATAATAGGTAAATCATCGTAAATCCTCTGTAAATCATCATAAATCGTCTATGAATCATCTATAAATCATCTACTCACGCCGTGGAACCGTACATAACGATGGTATCCCATTTCATAACAAATCAACCCGGGTATTCTTATCCATTAATCACCACTACTAACCATCATTAACAATAATTAACCATCATTGACGGTCGTTGACCATCGTTGTCGGTCATTAATCATCTACCATCAATCATTATCCATTACTCATTAATCATCAACATTAACCATCATTCACCATCATCAACCATCATCAACCATCATCAACCATCACTCTCCATGAATCATTCTTAATAACCACTATCAACTATGTTCACAACTAGGGTATATTGAGCATTATTAACCATTAACCATCAACCATCATCTCTCAGTCATATCAATGCTATGGAACCATACAATGTGAGGCCCCCCAGTTATGTTTGTTGGTTAACAAAAGCCCCAGTAACTATAGTGATGTGCGTACCATAAACCATAGTGAAATTGGAGTTATGTTCACCAACTTAGCTATCGAACGGGGGCTTCACATTGTACCATTCATTAACCATTATTAAACATTATTAACATTATTACACCCTGTCATTTTACCGTGGAAGTCAAAACGCAAAAGCCTGTCGGTTTACATGGAAGTTGTATCGGTCCAATTCCCGGGGAAAACGTGAAACTGGGCTACCGGACCAGAAAATGTAAAAAACTGACCGTAAATCACTTACATGGAAGTAGCTTGAAGGAGCATGTTCAACATGGAAGTTGGAAAACTGAGACTAAAAACGCTTACGTGGAAGTAACTTGAAGGTCCAAACATCAGGTTGACCACTTCTATGTTAACATGTTCTCCCCTCATGTTGAATACATCCTTCTAGGGCGATCCCTAAAACCCCCAGACTGACCGCCACATCATTTGTTTTCTTCTTTGCATCTATCTTCTCACCCCCGTCATGCTGGTCACCCGTATCTTAAAAACAACCACCAAAGGGTCCAAGTCTGGATTCAGCACCAAAAGTTCACAAATCGGGCTTTTTACATAAAGAGTTTAATAAAGAAAAAAAACATATGAAAAACCTGGTTTGGGATTCATGTCTTTTCCTTCTTTTTGGGAAATGAAATCCTCCTGAGAAGTATGGGGAACCCTAGTACCAAACCAAAGGTTTTACCATGAATAGCATGATTTTTTAACATGGCACTCCGTTCCATGTTTGGTGATTCATCTCTTGAACTGCTGGTCGCCCATATCTTAAAAGCAACCATCAAAGGGTCCAAGCCTGAATTCAACACCAAAAGTTCACAAATCGAGCATTTTATATAAAGAGTTTAATAAAGAAAAAAAACATATAAAAAACCTGGTTTGGGATTCATGGTTTTTCATTCTTTTTGGATAATGAAATCCTCCTGAGAAGTATGGGGAACCCTAGTACCAAACCAAAGGTTTTACCATGAATAGCATGTTTTTTTTTAACATGGCACTCCGTTCCATGTTTGGTGATTCAAAATTTCTACGTTAATCAAAAAATGCCCAGGATTCCCGGGGAACTCGTGGCAAAAAGAACCAGCCAAAAAAAAAAAGGGCTCAGATCCAAAGAACACAAATTTGCAGTTTACCGCCCCCCAATGCAACTAACATGGAAGTAAACCTCCGAATTGTCACTTTAGTTAACGTGGAATTTTTAAAAAAAACACTACGGTAAAAGGAGGGGGAGTAAAGGACCGAGCGCTCGCTAACATGGCACTGCCCACATCCTACTTCAAGTAGCAAATTTCTATGTAAGTTATCTGTTCCAATCGTTGGTTGGTAAAAAATGAAGGCATTCCCAACTTTATCTTGAAAAATTCAAAATTTCTACGTTAATCAAAAAATGCCCAGGATTCCCGGGGAACTCGTGGCAAAAAGAACCAGCCAAAAAAAAAAAGGGCTCAGATCCAAAGAACACAAATTTGCAGTTTACCCCCCCCAATGCAACTAACATGGAAGTAAACCTCCGAATCGTCCATTTCGTTAACGTGGAAAATATTTTTAATTTTTTTTTGCGCTACGGTAAAAGGAGGGGGAGTAACCATCAACCATCATCTCTCAGTCCTCAGTCATATCAATGCTATGGAACCATTAATATGGTGGTATACCCATAGTCACTATAGTATGTCTACATTAACCAGCAACCACCACTATGAACCGTCATTGACCATTCACCACCGTCATGATGTCCTTGCCGGCGATGGCCAACTCGTTGGCCGCCAGCATGCCCAAGCCACCCAGGCCTGGCTGGTGATGGTGTTCGCGTTCGTTGGAGATGTGTAAAACCATGGGATGTCTTAATGAAAATGGTGATTAATGGTGATTAAATGGTGGTTTAATGGGATTTAATGGTGATTATAGAGGTTTAATCAACAAAAAACAGGGATGTTAGTGGATATACCCTCTGGTTCTGACTAACAGTTTGCCATGGAAAATCACCATGCTGTTAAGTTCGGTAAACCCAGTTGTTCACCATTTTATTTCTATGGGCCATCTATACCATGGCGAACTGTTAAATAACCAGAGGGTATATATATATACACGAATGGGACTTAATGGAATGGTTATGCACTTCTTAATGGAATGTGATAGGATACATATGTCTATACATATATGTCTGAATGGAATATAATGGGAGATACAATGGAATATGATGGGAGATACAATGGAATATGATGGGATATATATAATCTTATACACTTCATATCATGCATGGTATTGTTAATTGGATTTACAGACTTAATTGTGTTACGTCACGATGCAATCATATTGGCACATGGACAATCATATATACATATACTCACCCTAACAGCCATTAATGGGATATTGGGACAGTCAAATAATGATACCAGTAATGGAAATACCAAATGCTACAATATGTAGTCGCATATTGTGATATTATGGGATATTGGCATGATATCAAGTGTTTGAAATATCTAATGGCCGAATATGAAAAAAGAAAACCCAAATACACAGGAATAATACCATAAATTCTGACAAATGTACAAGTCTGTTTTGGTATACAATGTGTGAAATGTCAAACAGATTTCTGCATCTGCACATGTACATATAATATATATATACATATGTGTGTGTGTGCTTCTACATGACTATGTATACACTATGTAGTTGTGTATGTATGTGTGTATGTAAATGTATATTTATATATACAATGCATATGTATCTACTGTGATGTGTATCTGCATGTGTATGTGATATATGATATGCACCCGCATACAGATGTACATGTGATATGTATCTGCCCGTGATATGTATCTGCATGTGTATGCATATGTGATATGTACGTACATGCATGTGTATGTATCATGCCACAGCTGCACATCCCAATTACAAAATATTACACATAAGCAAGTGGTCTATGACCCATTTATACCATTTAAGCAAGTGGTTTATGACCCATTTATGAGGATATTCCATGCACAACTGGGTGATAACGGCTGGTTACTAGCCTCAAAAAACGATTCTTTGGAACTGGGATGAAGTACGAATGCTCCATGCACCACTGGCATGGTACCCATGGTACCTATGGTTACCGTGTCCAAAAAAATGTGGCCATCTGGGAAAATCATCGAAGCTTAAATGGATCTTCCCATGGCTTCCAGCAAACCAAAGAATCTATACCCATGAAAGACCCATCATTCATCCCTGGTTGGTGGTATACCTACCCCTCTGAAAAAATGAAAGTCAGTCAGTTGGGATTATTATCATTCCCAACTGAATGGAAAGATAAAAAATGTTCCAAACCACCAACCAGATCCCCATTCTATTCACATGTTGATCGAGAAATGAATTCGGAGCAATTGGTTACTGGCATGCAATTCATGCACATGGTACCCTCTGGTAAACGTTTACATAACTATGGAAAATCACCATTTTATAGCTGGGTAAATCAACTATTTCTATGGCCATTTCAATAGCAAACCGTGTGTTTACCAGAGGGTATATACTAGGTATATGAATAATCCCCCAACTAATCATCAATCATCGTTTACCAGTTATATCATGTTATATCCACTAAAAAAAACGCTAAATCACCAACAAAAACCCGTCGTGGTACCCTGAACGAAAAACCCCAGCCATGGACAGTTGGGCCTCCCGTAATCAACGCCATCGCCTGGTCGAATCGATCTGTACCTTTTTTTCAGGACCTCCATTTTTGAGCAAAGGACCGGTAAAAGTTGAAAGTTGGGAAAAGTGTTTTAATTATCAAATAGTTGGGAATAGTATTTTTTTCAAATAGTTGGGAATAGTTTTTTCAATAGTTGGGAATAGCTTATCAAATAGTGGAAAGTTGGGAATCAAATAGTTGGGAATAGTTTTTTTCAATAGTTGGGAATAGCTTATCAAATAGTTGAAAGTTGGGAATCAAATAGTTGGGAATATTTTTTTTCAATAGTTGGGAACAGCTTATCAAATAGTTGAAAGTTGGGAATCAAATACTCGGGAATATGTTTTCTAATTATCAATAGTAAGGACAATGTCCGAGAATTATCAAATAGTTGGCGTTGTCTTTGAATGACGAAAATTACTCCACAACCAAATACAATTTGACAATGTTTGACTTAGTTTACCCATACGTCAATCATCATTCCCGATCAAATCCAATTGTTTCTGACAAATCCCCTCTGGTAATTTAACTATAGCAATTGCAAATCGCATAAAAAAAATGGATCTAATAGGCAATATCAATCAATATCATCTATTATTTTCTCCACAGCTATGTTGACAGAGGCTAGCTATAAACCTTGGATTTTCCCGACCACTTGGTCCACGATATAGTCCACTTGGTCGGATCAGTTGCTAGACCAACTCATCCCATCCGTGCTGTGGTTTTTTTCTGTAGTTCCTACAATCAATGGATTGGTTTAGTGGAACATTTACAGGAAAACCCCATGATCTTCATGGTAAAAACCCATGGGTTTCCTGTAAATGTTCCCCAACAAACCAATCCATTGATATAAATGATACCTATTAGTTACCCGGCCTGGTAAACGTTTACATTACTATAGAAAATCACCATTTTGTAGCTGGGTAAATCAACTATTTTTATGGGGTATGGCTTCAATAGCTATGTAACAAATTACCAGAGGGTATATATATATCAAAACAAAACTATAGCACTGTAAAGTTATAAGATTACACCATATTACATCCATTTTTTTGGTCCACCGCCTATTTAAGTTGGATGATACACCTTGTTCGTCGTTTCTAGAGTTTGCACAGAGCCAGTTTTGCTGGTAGCTCATCCACCGTCACCTCATTGTCTCGACGAAGGCAATTGATCCACAAGCAAACCATTAAAGAAAAGCCCTCCAGGGTTTTTTTTGATAAGTTACAGCAAGCCATAAATGTCCTATGAATTTTCACCCAACTGAACTAATAGACATCAGAATCTCCAACAGGTACTTGTTCTTATCTATTTTTCCTAGTAATCTTGCATATGAAGCTGCAGATCTTGCAATGTGCCCTCCTTTTCCTGGTTTTAATTCAATATTATGAATTACAGATCCAAGTGATGTGAAGCAATTTTTCAAATCCCCAAAGCAAGCAGCAAGACATTTACCAACCCCACCCTCCTATCTCCTGCATATGGAAAAGCTGGGAAAATCACCGAAAAGTGGCAGTGGGATGTGAAAGAAATCCCCCTTTTATAGCTGGTTGGTGGTTTCAACCCCTCTGAAAAATATGAGTCAGTTGGGATGATGACATTCCCAACTGTGAAACTGGAAAGTCTAATCAAATTCCATGGTTCCAGTCACCACCAACCAGATAGGATTTTAAGAAAGGTGATTGTCCCATTAAAACGACTCCAGTCACCAACACTGCCACTTTTTTCGGTGATTTACCAACCTTCTGGGATGATCATTTAGCAATTTCTAGGTGATTTTGGGATCCACCATTGGACAAAACCTATATAAATTGGAGCTGAAAAAATCCATGGTTTCCTCTAGACTAGATGTTCCCAACAAAACCATTCACCATTCACTTCATCAGTGATTCTCTAAGAAACTTGAGTAGATTTGGGATAATTTAAAGTAAAGAGACAATGATTCCTTGTCGATTTTCTCAATGATTCTCCACAAGTCTCAACCCCCGCCTCGGGCGCGGGATGGCTCCGGAGTGGCGTCAGCAGCTCAGCTCACGGCTTGGAACCCAGCAGCGGAAGAGGTGGTTGTTTTCCGCCATGAAAGATCTACCCAGGGTGGCTTTTTTTTCGAGGTTTATGGTAGGTGAGTTCAACTACACTATGGGAAATGGACTCAAAATGGCTGAACCAACTAACATGATAGAAAAAAAACATAAAATCTACCCTCTGGTAAACTAACATAGCTATTGAAAATTGCCATTTATAGTGGATTTTCCCAGCTATAAAATTGTGATTTTCCATAGTTATGTTGGTTTACCAGAGGGTATACCTGGGGGTGCAGGCGGCGAGGGTTATCAATGGCTACAACCATGGGATTTTGGCCCGTGAAATCGAACCACTGGAACTGCGCCGCCTGCGCCCCAATCCCATCCGAAATACTAGTACTGATTGGTTGAAAAACTGGATTGGTTCATAGGTACCCGGCATGGTAAACGGGCTAACAAAAAACGAGCTGGAAAGATCCACCATCTTATAGCTGGGTAAATTCCAACTATTTCGACTGGGCCATGGCTTCAATGTCGCAAACTGTTAACGTTTACCAGAGGGTGTCTGGATTTCTATGCAGTAAAAACAGAAAGTGGGTTAAGAAACAAAGATCCCCAAAGAACCAGCTGCTGTTTTAGCATTTTACCCCCCGGAACGAGACCAAAGAGTCAGTTTCAGTAGCTGGGGATCTTCAGTGGACCAGTTTCAACAGGAGAAACTGAGCAGTTTAGAAAATTTTAACCAAAAAAATGTGGAGAAATGAATTCTGTTCCAAAAATCGCTGTTTCTAAAGAAGTATCAAAATTTACTGTTCCATCTTTTGTGGGCTAACCATCTATCACACCATGTATAATCCAGTTGTATATGGGATAACCCCAACGAACTATAGGCGTAAAGAAAAACTTAGTCATCCTCCATACGTACCATGTAATGTCAACCCCGGATTAATAAACCATGGTTTATTAATTAGGGTGGTACTCCCCAAATAGTCATAATCTGATACTTAAATGGTATCCCCCCAATTAAACAACCTAGGGGTTTATTAATCGAGGGTTGACATTATACCATTATCCATAAACCCTAGCTGTTGGATTTCGAAGCAACCTTCGCCGAAACATGTTCCATCTGTAGGAAAAACGGACCAATCTCATGCCATGTTTGATGACCAGAGGTTTTCCCACGATATTCCATTCACATCCCATTACCCTCTGGTAAACTAATAGCTATGGAAAATATTGGAAAATCACCATTTTTAATGGGAAAACTCACTATAAATGGCAATTTTCAATAGCTATGTTAGTTTACCAGAGGGTAATATACCAATGTTTATTGGTAACTGCATCCCATGATCAACCATCCCCACTATATATCCAAAGGTTATGCTAGTAAACTTAGATTCCAAGTATCCATCTACTATCCTACTATTGCTAGTTATATCACTATCCATTCTTATCCCATGGAATATCCCTGTTTCTTTTCTTGGTTTTTTACACTCATGAAAAACCATACCATGAAAACCACCATGAAAAAAACATTAGATCCACATGAAAAATCCCCATGAATATCCCAGGAACCAATGGCTTATCTTTAAGTGGGGACGGACGATCACCCGGGTGAACATTCAAAAATCACACGGGTTGATCCTCGGTACATACCGTGAGTATCTCATGAGTATCCCATGTTTTTTTCGGCATCCGTGATGGTGAACATAAAGTAAAACACTTTATGACCTACTAAGGTAATCTAAGGTAGTGATCATACGTACTTTCGTTTATTTTTTGTGGGCTTACTATATCCCCGTGAATATTCCATGATATCCCCATTAATATGTAATTATTATATCCCCATTAAAGTTCGTTTACCATAGGCTTTCCACATCCAAGTATTATTCCATATTATGACTATTTTACTATTATCCACAATAGACCCACATTATATCCTCAATATCTCACTAAATCCACTGTCATCTTGGCTTATCTCATCCCAAAAAAGCAATTCTGCCCTCGCCTCCTCCGCATTGCGCCTCTCGCGGTGTAGCGGTGCCTCTGAGCCCTGGTACGTTGTTGTTTCTTGGGGCTTGGGATGGTGTTCAGCAGTGAGACCGGAGATTTTATGTGGTTTTATGGATGTTTATGGTCCAAAAATTAACTGGTTGGTGGTTTCAATCCCTCTGAAAAATATTAGTCAGTTGGGGTTACTATTCCCAATATATGGAATATGGAAAATAAAAAATGTTCCAAAGCACCAACGAGTTATGGTCCAACAATTCAGGTCGGTTTTTAGGATTTTGATGATAGCATAGAAGTTTTAGGAGCCAAACTGGTGAGATGATGTGATCTCAGCGAAATTCCGATGTGACTTGCCGGACTTGGAGAAAGCCTCATTTTTTTCTGATCGAATTCCAAGTTTGAAATCCCCACCTTTTTGGACCCCAAAAAAAACACCCTCCGCAGAGAAACCTCACGTTGCAGGACGGTTCTCTCGTGCCAAATCGCTTCCCACTTCGCCTGAAGCACTTCTCGTTTCGCACATGGGATGGATCCAAGTTGAAATGATGGGAACATACAGACTCTGATGCTTCATTTAACATATGGAATGTTCATGCGTATTTATATATATATATAATTATATGGGAATTATGCTTTAAGAAATTGATCTTTACAAAGATGTTGGTGTCATCAAACACAAAACTGGACAATTTCACTATCATCAAGGGATTTCAAACAAAGATGGATACCAATGATTTTCCCATCATCATTTCTACAAAGATGTTGGTATCATCATTCGCCTACCGATGATGAGATCCGATGATCCTAGCACGGTGTAACGCCTACCGATGATGTTTGGCCATAGAAACTTAGAAGGGTCATAAATGATTGGATGATTACAAAGCTAAATGATATTCATAATCCTGAATGATTAGAATAAAATATGAAAAAAATGGTCAATGATTTTTCATTGATGGAAGAAATAAAAAC